CTAAATTATTTTGTTCCTTCCTTGTAATTTATTATTATCAAAAAATAATCTACACTAACCTGATTAACTTCCTCTTTAAAAAGATTGGACTAAAATTATATCTAATTTTAAAAGTAAGTTAATATTTAAAAAACCTTAGAGTTTATTTAATATAAAAAATAAAATTCAATCAAAATTTAATTCATTCATAATCGTTATTTTATTAACTTAAATAAAAAATAATTTTTAAATAAATAAATAAAGCTAATAAAGAATCTAGATAGATCTAATTACAAGCCTTCAATCTTGAAAAAATTGAGATATTTTAACTCAGATAGGTTACTGAAAAAATTAGATACGCCATCACTTTTAATACTATTCTATCTATTATTAAATAATTTTTGATATTTTATCATAAATAGAATCAAATTTATAATATATTAAAATAAAATATAATATAATAAATTAATCAAATGACAGACCAAATAAATACAAATTAATTCATTTAATTTTTATATACAAAAATGAAAAAAAAATCAATAATTACCTAAGAATCACAGTTAAATTTTAGAGCTTAGCACATTTAGCTAAAGTAGAACTTAACAAAAAGGTACCTTAATTACCAATCTTATTCCATCTTTTAGTTTTATTAAATAGAAAGAATAAATTAATTAAAGTTATATCAACTTTTTTTATTTTAAAAATTAGTTAATTGAAAGTTAATTTTATTCAAAAAAAAAGACAAACAAACAAACAAGACAATAAATCATATTTATTTTCACTTAATTATTAAATATTAAAATATTTAGTTTAAATCAAATAAATTTATTTATTTATTTACTAGAAATCTAGAAGCAAAGTTTAAATATTATTTAAATTTTCTAAAGTAGAGCACAAAGCTTGTATGTCCTGATCATTGATTCCAAGAAACCTTTTTTTTAATTAATTAATTAATCTTTATTTTTCAGTTGATTTTTAATATGAATGATATATATACCTTTTTCACATAGAAATGTCCCCCAACACCATCGATCTCGAAAAAATTTTTTATTTGGGGAAATTTATGGTAAATCAAATTTTATTAGGGTGAGACAAATAGACACTTCTAAGGAAAATAGGTTAAATAAAAACAATAAAAATATGTTTAGTTGGTACTAAAATTATTAGATAAGTGGATGGATAGATAGATAATCGATATCTTTTGAATCTTTAATTAATTATGAGAATTTTATAAAAATAAACATAATTAATTACTCAATTACTTTAAAGAAAAAGATAAAATAATCATTTAATTTTAGATTTGTGTAATAATAATTATTTATTTATTTAAGTATAGACTTTTTAAATTTCATAGCTTTAAACTAAATAATTAGTATTTGTTAAAAAAAATGTTCAAATTATTTTACTATTTTCAATTAATCTAAGATAGAAGAAATAATAAATTTCTTTAAATAAATCTGCATGATTAAAATAATTAAAAATTAAATAAAATTGCTTTCTTTACCCAAGCATAAGTGTTAATTTTTTAAGGTTTTTGCATTTTGTTAAAGTTGAAAAAAATCTAAGCATTCCTTCTTTACTCATTTTATTTTCCCTTTTTAGTTTAATATTTAATTTAATTTATTTTTTTTCTTCTAATTTTGAAAATTATAAAAAATAAATTGTTTTATTTTATTTTTTTTAATTTTATTTATTAAATAAGATATCATATAATAATTATCAAAAAGGAATTAATTTTGTTTTGTATTTATTTTAAAACTAATTAGTTAATTAATTTTTATTTATACCTCATATCAAGTGCTAAAACTGAAAGATTACTACATTTTTAGAAGGTGTTGCCTAAGCCTATGACATCTGAAGAGCTGATTTAATTATATCTTTTATAATAAAAATTTTAATTTATTATGAAATCCTTTTTTTAACTTTTCTTGTTAAATAAGAGCATGCATGTATGTATGTGTTTATATTTTTGTAAATTAAATTATAATTAATTACTCGAGTTTGAGTTTTAATTATTAGATATCTGCACATTTAGCCAGAATTTAATTTAGAATGCATTCTTCATCTTAGTGATATACTGTAGATACTCATTAATTAAGGCCGATAGATTTTAATTTTAAAAACTGAAAATTTGGCCAAAAAGTTTTTTTTTCCAAAAAATCGGCCTTAATTAAGGTAGGCCTTAATTATTGAGTATCTACAGTAATTTAATCGTGTTGAACCTTTAGATATATTAAAAATAATTTTTATATCATTAAGAATCAATATATTACAAACACTATAAAGAAAGTATAAAAAATATTTATTTTACCCTAGATTAACAGATAAAAATGACAGATTTTTCATGCTTGATAAAAGCGAAACTAAGCCTAAAACTCCTTCATTACTTATTTTATTTTCCCTATTTTTTATTTTAAACATTTTTAAAATAGACTTATCATTATTTATTTTTAAATAATGTTGAATATCATTATAAATGAGTTTCTTTATATTAATGAGACATTTGTAAGTATAATTATTTTATTAAAATATTTTACATAAGCTCAAGCTTTAGATTAGATAGATTTTTGCATAGGGTTAGTCCTTAAAATAATTTAATTAGATCCTTTTATCCAAGCTAATTGTTTCTATTAAATTAAAATCAATTAATAATTTTTACAAAATAAATAAGTAAAATGAACAAATATTTTAAATCTAAATAAAATAACATTGTAGGATTTTAATTAAATGATTTCTATCAATCAAATATTACTAAAGATTGAATGTAGTAGCACTATTTCGTTCACTTTTTTGAGGATTATCAAAATCTGATTAGTATAATCGAACAAACAATTTCTCTTAATACCTATTTATTATTTTATATTAATTTAGTTTTTTGAATAATTTACATACAATTAACAAAAAATTTTCCTTTTGTTAAATTTTTTATTGATAAAAAGGGAAATAAGCAAAAAGATTTATTATTTACCCAAACTTTAGAGATAAAGAAGAAAGATTTTAGAAGTCTGCTAAAGCACAACCTAATTCAAATCCTCCTTAATCACCTAAATTATTGTGTCTTTAAAAATATTAATTATTATGAAAAGAAATTAAAAAATAAAAAAGATTTTATTTTAATAAATAGTTCGATAAATCAATAAATCATTCAAATAATTTATAAAAAAAATAGCTTTAAGATTTTCAAATAAATTAATTATTTTAATAATGAAAAATAAATAAATAAATAAATAAATAAAAGAAATTAGAATAGAGAATAAATTTTTATAAACATCTTACTTCAGGCTAAGAATTAATTTTTCTAGTTTTTCGCATTTTGTAAAAGCAACACATAAGTCTGAAAATTTCTAAACATTAATGAGATTATGTCTTTTAAATATTATATTAAACTATTATTAAATAATTTTACTGTAAAAGTAAAAGTAAAAAATAAAAGCATTAATTTGTATAATAAAATAATTTTTATAGCTTTTGGTTATTAATTTAACTTGTTTTAAGTTTTTCTTTATATGTTTTTTATTAAAAAAATATCTATCTTTCTATCTATTTATCTACCTCATATTAAGATTTAATGCTTAAACACTTTGACATTTTCCTAAATAAGCACCTAATCCTGAAGCTCCTTTATCGCCGATTTGATTTTCCCTTTTATTAAATAAAGAATATAATAATTACATGCATGTTAAGTCATTTATAAAAACTCAAAAGTTATTAATTTATTAAGAATTTTTGTAAAAAATGCTTATTTTTTATAATAGAAAACAAATTTAGTAATTATTCAAAAATAAAAAAAGATAATTAAATGAAAAAAATGATTAAAAAATTAACAATTTAAAAAAATTAATATCTTATTTCAAAAGCTATTTTTATTCCATATTTAATTAGTATTTAAATTGATTTAAGATATAATAAAATAAGAAACAAAATATTACTTAAGATAAAAGCGAAGACTTTTGTGAGAGTTTAGTTCAGAATTTAAAAACTTAATATAAAAAAAAATTTTTAAAACATTAAATAAATAAATTATTTTATTTACTCTTTATAGCTTTTTGTTGATTTTTTTCTAATTCATATTTTTTTTATTTTTTGAAATTTAACTATCCATTTATTTTATGAATATCAAATATAATGTATGTACTCTGATATTTAATATAAAAATCAAATTTTTAATTAGATAATTTAAATACTTGGGCATAAATTAAAACTAAAATTGGCCTGATCGTTTCTGATTAAAAATATAGAAAATAAGGTAATTTTTTTTTTCATAAACTGAATCTTTTTATAATAAAATAAAAATGAAATATCTTAGGTTTGATTGATTAATATGTATGTATTCATCAAACCCAAAAGATTGAATTCATATATATCCTTTCTTTCAGTATTAAACAAATTTAATTTAATTTAATTATATATATTACATTTTGATTTTCTTTATTTTTTTTATTAAAAAAGTTATTACTTAGATTTAAATTATTAATAAGTGGGTAGGTAGGTATTGTTACTTAATTTAAAAGATTTATTTTCATTTCTTTCAATACTAAACCAATATTATTAATTTTAATTTAATAAAAAATGATTTTTTATATTATCTATTTGATTATTAAAAATATATATATATATTACTACTTAATTAAAAGACTCAACCTTTCGTAAAAATATTTAGTTTGGCTTCATAAAATACGATTTTATTTTCTTTGTTGGTTTCTGATAAAAATATACTTGCTTAGCTGTCTGTTTTTTTAAATAATTTTTGAATTTACACATTTAAATCAATTAACTAACTGTTTTAAATTATATATTTACTAATATCCTATTATTAATCAAATAAGTGATTATATAATATTCTTTTTTTTTCAACAAATATATTGAATTAAATAAATTAAATGATTGAATAATTAATATTGATGAAGAGAGCTTTTCATAATTTAGCTCGCTCTATCTTTCTTATTTGAAAAACAAACAACCTTGGGTAGCAATTTTGAATTTTATAATAGGATAATCAAAAAGCAATTAAATCAATTAAAATTTACATTTTTAGTTTTTTTTTTGGCTTATTTATTAAATTATTTAATTAATTTTTAACTTAAGATAATGTTTTTTATCCAAGTTATAGATATATACCTTATTATTAAATAATCATTTTGTTACATTTTTTTTGACTCTTGCTTGCTGACCAGTTAAGTAGCAAAAATAATAAAATAATTTAAAATTCATAAATAAAAGGTTTTTGTGATTATTATATTACAAACATAATAGATATTTAATTTTGTGTATTTAATATTTTATATTTTCTTAAACAACCAAATTGTTTGTTTTGCTCCTTCTTTGTAATTTATTATTTTCAGTTAATAATAATCTTCAATAGCCTCATTAACTTCCTCTTTAAAAAGATTGGACGAAAACTATAACTAATTTTAAAAGTAAGTTAATATTTAAAAAACCTTAGAGTTTATTTAATATAAAAAATAAAATTCAATCAAAATTTAATTCATTCATAATCTCTATATATTTTATTAACTTAAATAAAAAATAATTTTTAAAAACTTTTTCTTTGAAAAAAATTAATTTGAAGAATTAATTTTTAAATAAATAAATAAAGCTAATAAAGAATATAGATAGATCTAATTACAAGCCTTCAATCTTGAAAAAATTGAGATATTTTAACTCAGATAGGTTACTAAAAAAATTAGATATGACATCATTTTTAATACTATTATATCTATTATTAAATAATTATTTATATATTATCATAAATAGAATCAAATTTATAATATATTAAAATAAAATATAATATAATAAATTAATCAAATGACAGACCAAATAAATACAAATTAATTCATTTAATTTTTATATACAAAAATGAAAAAAAAATCAATAATTACCTAAGAATCACAGTTAAATTTTAGAGCTTAGCACATTTAGCTAAAGTAGAACTTAACAAAAAGGTACCTTAATTACCAATCTTATTCCATCTTTTAGTTTTATTAAATAGAAAAAATAAATTAATTAAAGTTATATCAACTTTTTTTGTTTTAAAATTAGTTAATTAATTAAAAGTTAAGTTGATTCAAAAAGAAAGACAAACAAACAAGACAATAAATCATATTTATTTTCACTTAATATATTTAGTTTAAGTAAAATAAATTTATTTATTTACTAGAAATCTAGAATCAAAGTTTAAATCTTATTTAAATTTTCTAAAGTAGGGCACAAAGCTTGTATGTCCTGATCATCGATTCCAAGAAACCTTTTTTTTAATTAATTAATTAATCTTTATTTTTCAGTTGATTTATAATATGGATGATATATATATATACCTTTTTTCACATAGAAATGTCCCTCAACCCCATCGATCTCGAAAATATCTTAATATTTGGGGAATTTATGGCAAATAAAATTTTTTTAGGGTGAGACAGATAGACACTTCTAAGGAAAATAGGTTAAATAAAAAACAATAAAAATTTGTTTAATTGGAACTAAAATTATTAGATAAATGGATGGATAGATAGATAGATATATCGATATCTTTTGAATCTTTGATTAATTATGAGAATTTTATATATAAATAAACATAATTAATTACTCAATCATTCTAAAGAAAAAGATAAAATAATCATTTGATTATTTAAATTTCCTAGCATATTTATTATGCTATTTTCAATTAATCTAAGAAAGAAGAAATAATAAATTTCTTTAAATAAAATCTGTATGATTAAAATAATTAATAATTAAATAAAATTATTTTCTTTACCCAAGCATAAGTGTTAATTTTTTAAGGTTTTTACATTTTGTTAAAGTTGAAAAAAATCTAAGCATTCCTTCTTTACTCATTTTATTTTCCCTTTTTAGTTAAATATTTCATTTAATTTAATTTATTTTTTTTGTTTCTAATTTTGAAAATTATTAAAAATAAATTGTTTTATTTTATTTTTAATGTTTTTTGTTAAATAAGATATCATATAATAATTAACAAAAAGGAATTAACTTTATTTTGTATTTATTTTAAAATTAATTAATTTTTATTTATACCTCATGTCAAGTGCTAAAACTGAAAGATTGCTACATTTTTAGAAGGTATTGCCTAAGCCTATGACATCTGAAGAGCTGATTTAGTTATATCTTTTATAATAAAAATTTTAATTTATTATGAAATCCTTTTTTTAAATTTTTTGTTAAATAAAAGCATCTATTTATGTATGTATGTATGTATGTATGTATGTTTGTATGTGTTTATATTTTTGTAAATTAAATTATAATTAATTACTCAAGTTTGAGTTTTAATTATTAGATCTCAGCACATTTAGCCAGAATTTAATTTAGAATGCATTCTTCATCTTAGTAATATAATTTACTCGTGTTGAACCTTTCGATATATTCAAAATAATTTTTATATCATTAAGAATAAATATATTACAAACACTAAAAAGAAAGTATAAAAAATATTAATTTTACCCTAGGTTAAGAGATAAAAATGACAGATTTTTCATGCTTGATAAAAGTGAAACTAAGCCTAAAACTCCTTCATTACTTATTTAATTTTCCCTATTTTTATTTTAAGCATTTTTAAAATAGACTTATCATTATTTATTTTTAACTACTGTTGAATATCATTAAGTATTTATTTGTTTAATTTAATGATATAGTTTAATTTTTTTTTACTTTTGCAAAGATCTAAGTAATAATTAAATAAATAAATTGTTGTAAGATTTAATAAAAAATCAAAAGATAAATTGATAATTTATTGAGTGAATGAATTTAATTTTTCATTATCAATGAGGTTCTTTATATTAATGAGACATTTATAAGTATATTTATTTTATCATTAAAATAAATGGTAAAATATTTTACATAAGCTCAAGCTTTAGATTAGATAGATTTTTGCATAGGGTTAGTCCTTAAAATAATTTAATTAGATCCTTTTATCCAAGCTAATTATTTCTATTAAATTTAAATGAATTAATAATTTTTACAAAATAAATAAGTAAAATGAAGAAATATTTTAAATCTAAATTAAATAACATTGTAGGAATAAATTAAATGATTTCTAACAATCAAATATTTACTAAAGATTGAATGTAGAAGAACTATTTTGTTCATTTTTTTGAGGATTATCAAAATCTGATTTGTATACTCGAACATTCATTTTATCTAAATACCTATTTATTATTTTATAATAATTTTTTTTTTTGAATAATTTTCATAAAATAACATAAATTTTTCCTTATTTTAGATTTTTTATTGATAAAAAGGGAAACAAGAAAAAAGATTTATAATACAAAGATAAAATTAATTATTTACCCAAACTTTAGAGATAAAGAAGAAAGATTTTAGAAGTCTGCTAAAGCACAACCTAATTCTAATCCTCCTTAATCACCTAAATTATTATGTCTTTAAAAATATTAATTATAAAGAAAAGAAATTAAAATATAAAAATATTTTATTTTAATAAATAGTTCGATAAATAAATAAATCATTCAAATAATTTGTGAAAAAAATAGCTTTAAGATTTTCAAATAAATTTATTTTAATCATGAAAAATAAATAAATAAAAGAAATTAGAATAGAAAATAAATTTTTATAAACATCTTACTTCAGGCTAAGAATTAATTTTTCTAGTTTTTGGCATTTTGTAAAAGCAACACATAAGTCTGAAAATTTCTAAACATTAATGAGATTATGCCTTTTAAATATTTTAAATTATATATTAAACTATTAAATAGTTTTACTATATAAGTAAAAGTAAAAAATAAATATATTAATTTGTATTATAAAATAATTTTTATAGCTTTTAGATATTAATTAAACTTATTTTAAATTTTTCTTTATCTTTTTTTTATTAAAAAAATATATCTATCAATATATCTATTTATCTACCTCATATTAAGATTTAATGCTTAAACGCTTTGGCAGTTACCTAAATAAGCACCTAATCCTGAAGCCCCTTTATCGCTGATTTGATTTTCCCTTTTATTAAATAAAGAATATAATAATTATATGCATGTTAAGATATTTATAAAAACTTAAAAGTTATTAATTTATTAAGAATTTTTGTAAAAAATGCTTATTTTTTATAATAGAAAACAAATTTAGTAATTATTCAAAAATAAAAAAAGAAAATTTTATGAAAAAAATTATTAAAGAATTAGAAATTAAAAAAAATTAAAAAGCTATTTTTATTCCATAATAAATTAGTATTTAAATTGATTTAAGATATAATAAAATAAGAAATAAAATATTACTTAAGATAAAAGCGAAGACTTTTGTGAGAGTTTAGTTTAGAATCTAAAAACTTTATATAAAAAAACTTTTATAAAACATTAAATAAATAAATTATTTTATTTACTTTTTGTAGCTTTTTGTTGATTTTTTTCTAATTCATATTTTTTTTATTTTTTGAAATTTAACTATCCATTTTATGAATATCAAATATAATGTATGTACTCTGATATTTAATATAAAAATCAAACTTTTAATTAGATAATTTAAATACAGTTGGGCATAAATTAAAACTAAAACTGGCCTGATCATTTCTGAGTTAAAAATATAGAAAATATGGTAATATTTTTTATTCATAAACTGAATCTTTTTATAATGAAATAAATATGAAATATCTTAGGTTTGATTAATTAATATGTATGTATTCATCAAACCCAAAAGATTGAATTCGTACATATCCTTTCTTTCAATATTAAACAAATTTAAATTTTATTTAATTTTAAATATTACAATTTGATTTTCTTTATTTTTTATTATTAAAAAAGTTATTACTTAGATTTAAATTATTAATAGGTAGGTAGGTATGTATTCTTACTTAATTCAAAAGATTGATTTTCATTTCTTTCAATACTAAACCAATATAATTAATTTTACATTAAATTTAATTAAAAATAATATTTTTATTCTATCTATTTTATTATTAAAAATATAAATATATTACTACTTGATTAAAAGACTCAACCTTTCGTAAAAATATTTAGTTTGATTTTATAAAAAATGATTTTATTTTCTTGGTTGATTTCTGATAAAAATATGCTTGCTTATCTATCTGTCTTTTTAAATAATTTTTGAATTTACACATTTAAATCAATTAACTTACTAACTATATTTACTAATATCCTATTATTTATCAAATAAATGATTATATAATATTCTTTTTTTTTTCAACAAATTTATTGAATTAAATAAATAAAATTATTTAATAATTAATATTGATGCAGAGGGCTTTTCATAATTTAGCTTGCTCTATCTCTCTTATTTGAAAAACAAACAATTTTGAATTAAATAATAAGATAATCAAAAAGCAATTAAATCAATTAAAATTTACATTTTTAGTTTTTTTTTTTGGTATATTTTTTAAATTATTTAATTGATTTTTAACTTAAGATAGATAATGTTTTTATCCAATTTATACATACATTTATAAATACTTATTATTAAATAACCATTTTTTTATATTTATTTTTGAATCTTGCTCGCTGACAAGTTAAGGAGTTTTCTATTTTTTTTTGAGCTGCTTAAGATTATTTTTTTTAGGGATTCAATAAATAATTACATAAATTTGTTTATTTTAATTAAATTTTAATTAGAAAAGCCTATTCAAATTAACTCTAAATATTTATTTAAATCTCATTATTATAAATTATTTATTATTATTTGATATTTTTTACTCTTTTGCATTCATTTATTATTAATCATAATTTCTGAAAAGTAATAATTAATTAGATTGGTAATCGATCTGGGATGTGTGGGTGTAAAAGAATTAGGTTAAGCCTTAAAATTGTGCTCTCGTCTTACAAGTAAAAAAATTCACAAAACAATAAATAAATAATATTTATTTATTTCACTAGCCTAAAAAATTAATAATTTTTTATTGAATTTTATTATTTAAAAATTATAAAATAAAACATACATACATACATATTATTTTGTAAATATTATTCAAATATATCTTTTAGATTTATTGATCTTTTTTCACCAATTAATTGTCTATCACCATCAGATATTTATTTTAAAGACAACTAATCTTTTTGATTTAAGATACTTGCTTTTTACTTTCAATTTTTATGATTCTTTGATTAAGTTAAAACTTTTATAATAAATTAAAATAAATGATTTAAAAAAATTAAATTGGATAAAATTTTTAAAAAAACATTAGAAATTATAAAAAAGGAAAAAAATCAAATAAAAAGCTAAAAAACATATTTAAAGAATGTTTTAAATTAAATTTAATAATTAAAATATTGCAATCTAAAATAAATAAATAAACTGTTTTAACTGAAGATCAAGTGAACAATTTGAGAGATTAGAGAAATTTGCTAAAGCAGAACCTAAGCCTGATGCACCTGTTTCACCAATATCATTGAATCTTATTAAATATTGAAGATAAAATAAATATTTAATTTGTTATTTAGAAGGAAAAAATGAAGAAATAATATGATATAATAAAAAATGAATTAATAAATAAATAGTAAAAGTAAATGTTGAAAGTCAAAACGTGAGTTAAATTAAGAAATATAGAAGGGAAAAAAAACACAAGTACAATTAAAAAGAAAAACAAAAGCAAAAAATAAATAAATAAATAATTTTTACCGAAGATTAAGTATCAGATTTGAGAGATTATTGCAATTTGATAAAGCAGAGCCAAAGTCTGATGCACCTTAATCGCCAATTTAATTTTGTCTTTTTAAATATTTAAGAAAAAAATTTAATAAATTAGTTTTTTAGAAGGAAAAAATGAAGAAAAAATTCAATTATTTATTAATAAAAGTAAATGTCGAAAATAAAAAAATGAGTTAAATTAAGAAAGATTAAATTAAGAAAGATAGAAGGGAAAAATTACAAGTACACCAAAAAAGAAAAAGAAAATTAAACCAAATAAAAAGTTAATGTACAAGAGTTAGTTTTATTTTTTTTAATTCATATTTATCACAATTCAAAACAAATAAACTGTTTTTACTAAAAGCCAAGTCTCAAATTTGAGAGATTAGTGCAATTAGCTAGAGAAGAACTTAAGGCTGAAGCACCTTAATCACCAATACCATTGTATCTTTTTAAATATTGAAGAAAAAATATTAAATTAATTAATTTATTTGTTCTTTAGAAGGAAACAATGATAATAATAAAAGCAAATATTGAAAATAAAAAATAAATGAATTAAATAAATTAAGAAAGATAGAAGAAATAAAAAAACATGTACAATTAGCTTAAAAGAAAAAGAAAATTAAATCAAATATAAACCTAATAAACAAATTAAATATAGTTTTTTCGTTTTAAATTCATTGTTTTAACTAAAAATATCACAATCCAAAACAAAAAAATAAACTGTTTTACCCAAGATCAAGAGTCAAATTTGAGAGATTAGTGCAATTTGCTAAATCAGAAACTAATCCCTATGCCCCAATTGCACAAATTTCATTAGACCTTTTTGATTATAAAAGAAAAAATAAAAAATTAATTAGTTATTTAGAAGTAAAAAATGAAGTAAAATTTAAATAATAAGAAATAAATTAGTAAATAATAAATGCAAATATTGAAAAACAAAAATGAGTTAAATTAAGAAGGATAGAAAGAAAGAAGGAAAATAAACACAAGTAGAATAAAAAGAAAAAGAAAAGTAAATCAAATATAAACTCATAAAAAAATTAAAAAGAGTTTATTTATTTTTTTTAATTCATTTTTTTATGAAAAATATCACAATCCAAAACAAACAAACTAACTATTTTTACCCAAGATCAAGTTTCAAATTTAAGAGATTACAGCAATTTCCTAAAGCAGAACCTATGTCTGATGCACCTGAATCACCAATACCATTGAATCTTTTTATATATAGAAGAAAAAAATAATCATTAATTAGTTATTTAGAAGGAAAAATATGATTTTATAAGAATTAAATTAATAAATAAATAAATAATAAAAGTAAATTTTGAAAATAAAAAAATGAGTTAAATATATAAATTAAGAAAGATAGAAACAAAAAAAAAAACAAGTACAATTAAAAAGAAAATAAAAGTAAATCTAATTTAAAGATAATAAACAAATTTAAAAAATGCTTTTTTGTTTTTAAATTCATTTTTTTTATGAAACATATCACAATCCAAAACAATCAAGCAAATCAACTATTTTTACGAAAGATTAAGTGCCAAATTTAAGAGATTAGTGTAATTTGCTAAAGCAGAACCTAAGCCTGATGCACCAATTGCTCCAATTTAATTAGATCTTTTTAAATATTGAGAAATAATATTTAAATAATTAATTAGTTATTTAGAAAGGAAAATAAATTGAAGCAAAATATTAAATAATTTGGAATATATTAATTAATTAATAAAAAATAATAAAAGCAAATTTTAAAAATAAAAATATGAATTAAGTTAAGAAAGATAGATAGAATGAAGAATAAAACACAATTACTTTTAAAAGAAAAAGAAAACTAAATCAAATAAAAAGTTAATTTTCAAATTAAAAAGAATTAATTTGTTTTAAATCCATTTTTATAACTAAAAATATCACAATCTAAAACAAAAAAACTGTTTACTAAAGATCAAGTGTTAAATTTGAGAGTTTAGCACAATTTACTAAAGCAGAGACTAAGCCTGATGCACCCTAGTCACCAATTTAATTTCCACTTTTTAAATATTGAAAAAAAAAAATAGTTATTTATTTAGAAGGAATAAATGAAGCAAAATATTAAATAATACAAATGAATGAATTAATTAATAAATAATAAAAGCAAATATTGAAAATAAACAAATGAATGAAATTAAGATAGATAGATAGAAGAAAAAAACACAATATAATTAATAATAAAAAGAAATCAAAAAAAAGCTAATAAACAAATTTAAAAGATTAAAATTGTTAATTCATTTTTAATAGTAAAAATATCACAATTCAAAGCAAATAAACTATTTTTACCAAACATTTAGTGTCAAATTTGAAAGATTAGTGCAATTTGCTAAAGCAGAACCTAAGCTTGATACACCAATTGCTCCAATTTGATTATATCTTTTTAAATATTGAGAAATAATATATAATTAATTATTTATTTATTTAGAAATAAAAATTGTAGCAAAAAATAAAAGAAAATATTGAAGAAAAAAAATATTAATTAAGTTAAGAAAGATATAAAGAAAAAACAAAAGTACAATAAAAAAGAAAAAGAAAAGTAAATCAAATATATAGCTAATAAACAATATTGTTTTAAAATCACTTTTATAACGAAAACTATCATAATCCAAATCAAATAAACTGTTTTTACTAAAAACCAAGTATCAAATTTGAGAGATTAATGCAATTTACTAAAGCAGAGCCTAATCCTGATACCCCTTAATCGCCAATTTAATTTCCACTTTTTAAATATTGAAAAAACAATATATTGTTATTTCGAAGGAAAAAATCAAGCCAAATATAAAATAATAAGAAATTCGTTAATAAATAAATAAATAATAAAAGTAAATATTGAAAATAAAAAAGTGAGTTAAATAAATAAATTAAGAAAGATAGAAGAAGAAAAGAAAAAAGACAAGTAAAATTAAAAAGAAAATGAATAGTAAATCAAAGATAAAGCTAGCAATAAATTAAAAAGAGTTATTTTGTATTAAATTCATTTTTATAACTAAAAATAAATAAATATCACTATCCAAACAAAACAAATAAACTGTTTTTACCGAAAATTAAGTGTCAAATTTGTGAGATTAGTGCAATTTGCTAATGCAAAACCTAAGTCTGATGCACTTTAATCACCAATTTAATTGTCACTTTTTTAATATTGAAGAAAAAATAAATATTAATTAATTTGTTATTTCAAAGGAAAAAATGAAGAAATAATATGAAATAATAAAACAGGAATTAATAGATAAATAATAAAATTAAAAGCTCAAAATAAAAAAGAGTGAGTTAACTTAATTAAGAAAAGTAGAATAAAAAAAACACAAAGACAATTAAAAATAAGAGTAAATCAAATGAAAAGCTAAAATATAAATTAAAAATAGTTAGTTAGTTATATTGTTTTAAATTTATTTTATAACTAAAAATATCACAATCCAAAACAAATAAATTGCTTATACTCAAGATCAAGTGTCAAATTTGAGAGGTTAGTGCAATTTTTTAAAGCAGAACCTAAGCGTTATATACCTTAATCACTAATTTAATTGGAACTTTAAATAAATATGTATAAAATTAATGAGTTATTTAGAAGTAAAAAATGAAGAAAATATATGAAGTAATAAGAAATTAATTAATTAATAAATAAATAATAAAAGTAAAATTGAAAATAAAAAAATCAGTTAAATTAAGAAAGATAAAGAAAAAAAACACAAGTACAATTAAAATGAAAAAGAAAAGTAAATCAAATAATAAAAAAATTAATTTGTATCAATAAATTGAATTTATGAATATAAGTTATAATTTCTATTAGAAAAATAATTTTTAAATAAAATGAAAGTTAAATATATTGAAGATATTAAAAATAATAATATTTATAAATTAATTATATATACCTCTGCAGATTAATATGGAGAACCTAATGAGATTCAAGTGAAGAGCTTATAAACTTTTTATATTAGTAAGAATAGATTTAAAGTCTAATGATAAAAAAATAAATAATTACTTCTTCTAATTTTTCGTAAAATTTAATCTATTATATCATTTATTTATTTATTTTTTTTTTTCAAAAATTTTATAATAACACTTTATGGAAACTTAATTAATTATAAGTGGATAAAAGCACAAATAAATTATATGAATTTATAAATTTACTTTTAGTAAAAGAAATCACAAAAAAGTTAATGGAACGAATATTCATTATTAAATTTGAATATTTCTATTTAAAATGTTTACTTAAAAATATTAGGAACTAGGGATTGGATATAAAGGATAATGAGAATGCGAACTGACTAGATAGAATAAAATATATTTTTGACATATTTAAGTATATTTTTGTTATTAGATTAATTTTCATATTTTTTAAAATAAATCTAATTACAAAAATAAATGAAAATTCATTAAAAAAATTTACTCATTCTAATAAATTAGCATTCTTAATACTTTCTATATCTTATCTAAATCCTTCAATATCGTCTTTAATACATAATTAAATTAAAAATAAATTTTTAACTTTCTTATTTATTTATTATATATAAATATAATATCTTCTTAAACTGTAATATTTATTGTTTAAAGTACATTATTAGAAAAAATATTATTTTTTTTTGAAGGCAGCAAGCATTTAACTCTATTATTTTTTTAAATATTCCAATTAATTTTTTAGTAGAACCCATACCAGTAGCTAACTATGTTTTTAATTAGCATTTTGTTTTAATTATTAAAAAACAAAAAAATATTTTCTTTAGATTTTTTAATGACGGGCTTACCTAATATTATTAAATTTATAAATTATGATAAATTTAGAGCTTTAATTAAGAACAGCAAAAGATATTTGATTTAAATTTTGTTTTTCCCATTTGAGTTTAAATTAACAAATTTATAAATTATGATTAATTCTGAGCAGAAATTAATTAATTAATAAATAAATAATTATGTAATTATTAGATATTTATTTCATATTTTATTTAAATTTGGTTTTTGCCTTTTGAATTTTAATTAAAAGAAGAAATTTTGAAAAATCTAAATAATTAATTAAATAAATATTTAATAATATAAATTCTAAAAAACAATAATAAAAAAAAGAAACTATTAAAATGGATTTTAACTTAAAAAATAAATACTCTGAGTGGCTTTAAAGCAAACAGTTTGAAGTAAAAAAGAATTCAGATATAACAAAAGAAAGCTATCTAATAGATAATACAAATATTTTAGTTCATACTGCACCTTTAAAAAGTTAGAGATAAAATTATGAATATTTTCACTTTAGAAAAGTTGTGTTTTTGCCAACTCACCTCTATGAGAAGAATACTTTTGAGATTAAAGTAGGAGATAAGGTTATCGATTTACTATAGTGTATGTATGTTGTTACCAAATAAAGTTACATTGATAACACTGTTGTAAAAATACATATCTAAAATTTTACTGATTACACTTAAGATTTACCTTCTTTTGAAGTAAATTGCTTATAAATGGATAACAATAATTTAGATGTTCAAGCAGGAATCCTAGGAGACAAATATCTCGCTTTAGTTATCTAATCAATTGGATAAATTGATATCCATATTTTAAATCTAGACTTATCTTTGGTTTATTAATACAAAAAAGAGCATTCTATTGGAAAAAAAGATACAAGCCATTTTAAATATAATTGTATTGAGAACTTTTTTGATAGCGAGTTAGACTATCATGAACCGGGTTTAATTTACATTCTAGGTACTTAAATAGTAATAAGAATAGACTTAAACAATAAGCAAGTTATTACTAAAGATTTTAATGATTAACATAAAGTCTTGCTTAGATTGATGCCTATAACATAAAGTGAGTTTAAATACTATTTTAAGAATGCCAAAAGTAAATAACTTGAAGGATATAATATTAATGAATAGGAATTCTTGATTTTATTTGTTATCATGAATAATAAAATTTATTAGCTAAATAAGAATAATTTAGAGCTTATTAGATAAACTAACATTAATATTGAAAAAGTTTAAAATAATTTGAAACCTGTATTCTCAGCTTTCCCTATTCCTATTTCAATCAAAGATCGCTAAAGAAAGAAGTTTTCCAAATGGACTTTTTTGATACTTATGAGAAGTAATTCTTACATTTTATCAGATTGGAGAGAATAGAATTTTTTTTAAAAGGAAATGGAAAAATATTATGGTTTAAATTATGAAACAAATACTTAAAGAATCTTTCTTCATTAGGATAGTATCTTTGTACTATTTTAATTAGAATTAATGGATTAAGGTTGGACAAGAAAAGATTCATAAGCCTCGATACAAATCAAAATATCTAAGAAAAAAGGTGAAAGAAATTATGTTAGCAATTTTTAAGTAAATTAGTAGACTTAAAATTTCTACTTTTCTTAAAACTTTTTTATAAAACACTTCTTTCACCCAATACTTTACAAAAACGAGTTAACTTATCCCTGTTATATGGATAAAAAAGTTTATAATTCTCTCTTTGTATCTAATTTCATAGGTTTTCATTCATTCAAAGAACAAGCAGAGAAACAAGCTTAATACTAAATAAAATAGTTAAATGACTCTGATCTTCAAATGCTAATAGACACAAATATGGATTTGTTTACTTTCTAAGATAATCAAAAAATTGTGCTTTACAAAATCAATTAAAATAAAATAACTCCTCAATATTTTGAGCTTCCCTTGCAAAATGATTGGATAATCAGAGAATACTTCTTTAATCGTAGTAGCTTTGAATAATTTTTTATTACCCAAAAAAATTAATCATGTAAAATTAGCTCATATTCATTATCAACTGATGAATATAAGATTCCTTAAATTTAAGAATTGAAAAGCGAAATTACATGTTTTTCATCATTCACATTTGATAGAAAAAGCAACTCTTTATTTTTACCATTGATTTATGACGATGGATTTGGTGAATATTTTTGTATATTTGATGCCAATTAAAAATAAATTATCTAAGAAACAGTTCACAAATGCAAATATACAAAAGGTCTACTTTCTCATTATGATGAAGAAAAAAAGCAGTTTATTTTGCTCTTCTTTAAAAAAATATATAATTCATGTTATTTATATTTTTATCAGTTAAATATGACAACAAGGTTTGATTTTAAGTTTATCAACATGCACAAATTCGAATAAGCTTTCGATATAAACTTACAATCTTAATATCTTAATGTAAAGAAAAGTACATTCAATGTATTAATACCTAATAAACCAAATGTTTTAATTAAATTCAATCAAAATAAAAAATTTGAAATAAAAAAATAAATAAAAAATTGTTTAGCTTAGTAGTATGATTAAGAAAATAAATATGAAATTGATAGGAAAAGATAATATTTTTTCCTAAAAAACATAAAGACCTCTTAAAAAATACTCTATCTCGGTTATTATTCAGGAAGACAATTTCTTATTTAAAACATTCTTAGCCTTTATGATGTGAAATAAAATTCTGTTTAATTTATTAATAAAGACATTATTGTAGAAGATGAACGTCTATAATTAGAACACCATGAATTAGACGTTTAAATACACATCAATCAACTATCTAACGGAATGATCTTTATACACTATGGATAGAATAAAATTAAAATTTTAAAATATTGATAAAAAGGAAATTGTTCTATTTATTTAAGAAAATTCAGTAGTTCTAAATAAATTATTAAGTAAAAAAACTTTTGGATAAACAAATTGTTATATTCAAGCAAGTTTATTTATTTACTTATTTATATATATTTTATGTTTATTTATTGTTTGATGCATTTATTTGAGATTTTAGAGATTTATTTTAATTTGAACTAATAATTAATACTTCGTTTTTATTCATGTATGTAGCCTACCTTAGGGTACTATATATATATATATATATTAAATTTTTTTGATTACAAATGAATTAAATTATTTTTTTAATATTCAAAGCAAACTCTCAAATCAAATAGTAAATTTTGGACACATTTTATTTAATGAATTAAATTTATTTATGCAAATTATAAAAGTAAAATGCATAATTTTATTGGTTTACAATTAAACAGAAGCCAAGTTGAATGTTTTTTAATTATTTATATTTTAAATCTAAAATTTACTCAATCAATATTATTTGAAGGATAGATAATTTTTTTTTACATTATCTTTAATGCAAATTATACAAAAATTTTTGAATGTCTTAATTAATATAGATTGAGTATGATTATGTTTTACAAAAGAAAAATGAGTCTAATTTTAATTTGTAGATAGTAAGCTTTAATCGCATATCTTTTATAAAGAATAAGCTAGCTTTTAACAAATATTAAGAATTGTTACAGAAAAGAGATGATTCATTACTTACCAAATTTTATAAAACAAAAAATTATAAATATTGTTTGCTTATAATTTTTTAGCCTGAATTTATTTAGATCTAAATAGAAAAATTTTTGATTTGATTTGATTAATATAAAATAGAAAGTGTTTATATTAAATTTGAAATTTGATTAAATAAAGATTTGTCTATTGTCTTTCGTTTGAAATGGTATGATTTGTCTACTTTATTTCTTAATTTGCGAAATCAATTATTGTGCTTTGTAAAATACGATGAATTCTATTAATTAAAATAATCAATGCTTAATTTGGATTATTTATAGAGATTTATTTCAAACAAGGCATCAGAAAACATAAGCTTTTTACAGATGGTCCCATTCAAAATTAGCTTTAAGAAATCTTTATATTCCTACATATATATATCAAAATTATAAGGTTCAATTATTTATAATTACAATTCTCAAATAAATTATCTAAATCATTTAAAATGTCAACTGTTCTAAAGTAAGCAAGCATTATTATTAAAAAAAATGCTTTACTCAACAGAAGATCCTACGAGTATTTAAGGGATATCTTTCCTCCATTAATTTCAGCCATATTTAATATAGTAGCAAGTAATAATCTTTTTGACCTTCACTAAAAATTTAAATATTTAAACTTTTTTATAATCTAAACTAAACAAAAGAAAACGCCAGCGCTTTGCAATTCATAGCTGCTTTATATCTACCATTATCCCTTTCTGGGTTTTTAAGATCTTTTGTCTTCAATTTTATTAACGAAAAGTCTGAGAAATACAAAGAAACTCAAAAAGTAACATTTATCTATTCCTTGCTTAATTGTTTTTTAATATTGCTTTTTAATATAAAGATAATGGGACTTAAAGATATTTCTTATAACCTAGGTTGGTTGACATTTAATTTTGGCAAAGCTTTTCTCGTAAAATAGATAGATTTTTCATTTTAAATTGTTTATTAAGAAAAAATATAATAAATTAGATTGGAGTGATTTATTTAGTTCCATGTTTAGCTGCTTAATCATTCTCTGATAGCTCATTAACAGTAGGAGAAATTATTTTGGCATATGCTTTATTTATTTGCGCAGCATTAAGTTAATGCTATATGTACACCACATTCTTTTCTCATCCAAAATTACCATCTGACTTAATAACTCTGATTCACTTGATAGCTTCAGCTTTGCAATATGTTGCAGCCGTAGATACTGTGCAAGAAAGTTAGAATCTGTTAAACCTTTTATCTCTATTTCCATAGACTTGTATAATTTTCATCTTCCTATCAGCTGGATGGAACTCTAGTTAATCAAGTCATAGCTTTAGTTATTCTAAAATGGCAAAAAATTATAGCTATAGTAATGGAATAATGATGCTAGTCATAGATACAATTGTTTACTTCATTTTGTATTTATACTTTGATCAAGTAATTGATTTAAATAAAGCATTATTGATCTAATTATTTAAATTTAAAATAGGTTGTAAAAAATGAATATGGAACTCAGAGGGATGCTCTGTTCTTCATAAATTGGATTTGGAAGAAAAATCCTAAAAACAGCTCTTAAATTTTTAGCTAAAACTAAAAAAAGAATGATGAAGAGATGAATGCTTCTTAAAATGAGATTGATTTTTGCTCAGCAAAGTACAAAGAAGAGTTTTTGAATGTTTAAAATCTTTCTGTGAGTGTCAAAGTGAGAGATTTAGTTAAAAAATTTGGCGATTTTACAGCTGTTGACCATTTATCGCTCACCTTATACGAAAAGCAAATTTTTTGGTAAAACAATTTTCAAAATAAAATTTGATTTTTAAAAAATGTTTTAACTAAAATCTTTAATAGCTTGTTAGGACACAATGGAGCAGGAAAAACTACAACAATATCTTTATTAACTGGGCTACTTTAAAAAAATTAGGGTAAGATAATCATGAATGGCTTAGATTTTGATTAGAATAAAGATCAAATTCGCTAAAATATTGGATTATGTTAGCAAAAGGATGTTTTATATGATAATTTTACAATAGAAGAACACCTTTAATTCATAGGAAGAATCAAAGGAAAAGATGGAGTTGAATTAGAAAATGAAATAAAATATCTTATTAAAAAATGTTAACTTTCGAACGAAGTAGGAAAAACAGCTAAAATTCTTAGTGGAGGAAATAAAAGAAAGCTTTCATTGGCAATGGCACTTGTAAATTATTAAATATATTTAAAAATTTATCTATTTGATAATTTTATATATTGCAAATAAATAACACATTATAATTTTAAATTAATTAATTGATAAAAATAGATTGGAGGATCAAAAATTGTATTTTTGGATGAACCTTCAAGCGGTTTAGATTTTAATGCAAGAAAAGAAATCAAACAAATTCTACTTGAGTTAAAAAAAGAGTAAAGAACAATCATTTTGACTACTCACCATTTGGAAGAGGCAGAAGAATGCTCTGATCGTATTGCAATTATGGCTAAAGGAAAGCTTTTAACTCTTGGCACAAACGAGTTTATCAAAAGAAATTTCGGAGTAGGCTACCATCTCACAATAGCTAAAAAATCTGAAAATTAAATAAACTCATCTTAAAAATCTTAAATAGATTTGAAATAAAATGAAGCACCAGAGATTTCTAAAAAAGAATATCAATTGTCATCAGAAAAATGCAATTAAATTAGATAAATCATAAATTAAATCATCCCAGAAGCAAAGTACAACCCTTAGAGTCAAGTTGGAATAGTTAAATTCACTCTCCCCTTTTCTTCTAAATAGCATTTTTCAAATCTTTTTTCAACTTTAGAGAAAGATAATGAGCTCAATCTCGATCTAGAAGCAAATACTCTTGAAGACGCTTTCATTAACATTGGTATGGATGAAAATAAATATTTAAATCCTTCTGAAAATCAAGTAAAATTATCTTAATTTCACTTTAACAAAACTTCTACTTATTCTTCTTCATTCATTCACCATCTAATTTTCCCTCTAAATAATTTTTACACATTTATTTAATTCTTTACCATAATTCCTTAGCCGCTCTTCCACGCAAATATGTCGAGGACTTAATTTACCAACAATTTTTATAAAAATTCTTCTGCCATAAAATTTAGATATGGCAGTGAAAAAAGATAGAAAGGAATTATGGTATATGTTTCTTATTAAAAATAAGATAAATATATTTGAATTAATTAATATCTTTTTTATCAAAGACTTAGTTGGTTTAAGAAAAATTCACAGATTTCTCTAATATTGCTCTTCCTGAATGCTTAAAAAAGGCTCCCATTTTTGATTTCTTAAACTAAACTTTTGGATGTTTCTAAAGAAAGGTCTTTATAACTATGAGATCAATTTCTATAGTTATAAGCTTCTTTTTACCTCTTTTACTACAATTAGTTGGAGTATTTGTTGCTAATTACGCTATAACAGAGAGTACAGTTAATAATGATAACACAAATCCTGACCAATAAATATCTGTTTAATTCCTCTAAATCATCATTTTCGGTAAAATTTGAATACAATATCTATTCCTTTACTGAATTTATTCTTCAAATTAATAGGAATTTTTGGCATGATCGCATACAATTTTGTTACAACCAGCTTTTGTGGAGTTCCTGTCATGGAGAGAGAATTAAAATTAAGATATTCCCTTAATGTTATGGGATGCAGAAGTTTACCCTACTGGTTGGGAACCTTCATTTTTGATTTTATCTTTATTTCAATCAATCTCTATATCTTCTTCATAATCTGTTTTATAATTGGATTTAACGCAGTTACAGATCATTTTGGCGAATTCTTTGGTTTAACCTAGCTTTTTATCTTCGCAATTATTTGCTAATCTTATTTCCTTTCTTTCTTTTTTGAGAAATCTTAAACAGCTTACAAGGTATTTCATTTAATAATACATTTCCTTCCTTTTTTAACTCATCATTATTTTAAAATTTAATTAGCTTGTTTTCTTTGTCAACTATTTCCTCTTTTATACAATCCCAGCTCTTATTGCTTCTCAGTCAAAAACCGCTTAGGTAAGCTTAATTTATAAAATATTTAATTCAATACTGATTTATTTTTTAATATAAGGGCTTCATGGTACTTATTTCTCCTTATCTTTGCTATAATGTTGGAACTTAGTTAATTTCTTCAGACACTCTACCTTTCAGCAAAGAATATAACGATGCCAATTACCCATCTTGGTAAAATCAAATTTGGTAGTACGTTATCATCCTTCTAGGTTAAGGTATTGTTTATGCTTGGATCGCATTAAGAATTGAACAAAGAACGGAAAAGTTTAAGGCTGATCCTAAAATCGATTACAGTGAATTTGAAAATCAACCTACTCCTGCAGAAGTAGCTGCAGAAGATCATAGAGTCTCTAACATGAATTGTTAAGATAAAATAAAAGTATCTCACCTCTATAAGACTTATAGGATAGATAAAAAGACACCTCCTTATACTGCTATTAAAAATAACTCATTTGGAGTCTAAAATGGAGAAATTTTAGGCTTATTAGGACCTAATGGAGCTGGTAAATCAACAACCTTTAACATTTTAACTTCTCTAATCCCTAAGAGCTAAGGCAGTGTAAAACTCAAAAACATTGAAGTCGAAAGCGGTTTAATGGAGGTTTATTAAGATGTAGGAATTTGCCCACAATTCGATAATTTATATGAAAATTTGACTGTATTTGAACATCTCCGCTTGTTTGGAAGAATTAAAGGCTTAAAAGGAAACGATCTGAAAGAAAGCATAGATTATTTCTTGAAAGTAATGCAATTAGAAGATTACATAAATAGAAAAGCTTCTTAATTGAGTGGAGGTAATAAAAGAAAACTATGTGTTTCTATGGCATTGATTGGAGGTCCAGACATGTAATTCTTTGATGAACCATCATCAGGTGTCGATCCAATTGCAAGAAGGTAAATATAGATAGATTTTTAAAAATAATTTTGAAGCTAATTCTAATATAAATAATTTAGATTTTTATGGAACACTCTCAGTCAAAGTCTAAAATTAAGAAATGGAGCTATTGTTTTAACGACTCACAGCATGGATGAGGCTGAGTGCTTGTGCTCTAAAATTGGTATTCTTATTAATGGTAAGTTTATCTGCTACGGTACTCCTTAATTCCTGAAAGAAAAATATGGAGAAGGCTACAAAATTACTTTTACAGCATAAAAAACAGAAGTTGCCAAATAAGAAGTACTAAAGCAATTCCAATAAGCCAAACTTCTAAATGACCAGTCTGACAATTAACAAATTGCTCTTATCTTACCTTACTAAAATTTCTCTTTAAGCAATACATTTGATTTCTTTGAAAATAATCTCTGCTTAAAGTAAGGCTTGATAAGTGACTTTTAAATCTCCTAAAGCTCACTTGCCTCAATTTTCGTTTACTTCTCACAGTTCTAACAAAATAAATCATAATGAAATAAAATATATTTACTATATAATTAATTAATATCTTAATTTATAAAGTATATTATTTATATATATCACTGTTTTTATTATTTTATATTTCAATTACTTCTATATTTTTTCATGCTTCCTTTTACTTGACTTCATTTATTTTATTAAAAGTAGTTTGATATTTTTGATTATCACTTATTTAAAATTAATTAATTTCATTTATAAATTTTACAATGAGAAAATAAATATCTTTACAAAATCAGGTTGATAAAAAAAATTATAAAATAGAAAGTGTAAAATTAGCTTAAAATCACAAAAATTAAATATTTTAATTACAATATAAAAATAATAATAAGTCTATTTATTTATCTATCTATCTATGTATATTTTAGGTTAAATTATACAATTGCAATATATAAAATAATTAATTATACATATTATATTCTAATATTCAAATATTTTATATTTTATTAAAAGTAGTTTGATATTTTTGATTATCACTTATTTAAAATTAATTAATTTCATTTATAAATTTTGCAATAAGAAAATATCTTTAAAAAATCAGGTTGATAAAAAAAATTATAAAATAGAAAGTGTAAAATTAGCTTAAAATCACAAAAATTAAATATTTTAATTACAATATAAAAATAATAATAAGTCTATTTATTTATCTATTTATATATATTTTAAGTTAAATTATACAATTGCAATATATAAAATAATTATACATATTATATTCTAAAATTCAAATATTTTATATTATTCATCATTTTTCACAAATTGTCTGTCTGTCTGTCTATCACCATCAGATAATTATTTCAAAGACAACTAATCTTTTAGATTTGAGACATTTGCTTTTAAATTTCAATTATTATTATTATTCATTGATTTAGTTTTTTCTTTTATTATAAATTAGAATAAATTACTAAAAATTAAAAATTATATTTTAAATTAATAAATAAAAAAATATTAGAAGAATAATAAAAAAAAGTAAAAGAAAAAAAATATTAAGCTATCAAATAAATTAAATAATTTTTATTGTTTTAAATTCATTTTTTTATTATAATACCACAATCAAAAATAAATAATTAAACTATTTTACAAAAGATTAAGATTCAAATCTGAGAGGTTAGTACAATTTGCTAAAGAAAGACCTAAGCTTGATGCACCATTTGCACCAATTTAATTATTTCTTTATAAATTTGGAAGAAAAAATATAAAATTAGCTTTTTAATTTGAAGGAAAAAATGAAGAAAATATAAGATATGGATGAAAGATTTAATAATAAAAACAAAAATTTAAAATAAAAAATAACTTAAATTAAGTTATATTGAAAAGAAAAAAACAAACACAATAAATAAGATGAAAAAAATAAATCAAATAAATTAATTTTTATATTTAAAAACATCATCATCCCAACAGACAGAAAAACTGTTTTACTCAAGATAAAGTGCTAAATTTGAGAGCTTAATGAAATTTACTAAAGAAAAACCTAAGCCTGATGCTCCTTTATCACCAATTTAATTAGAACTTTTTTTATATTAAAGATAAAAGATAAAATGTATAATTATTTACTCAGAAGGAAAAAATAATAAATTAATCAATTTATAATAAAAGCAAATGTTGAAAATAAAAATTGGTTAAATAAGATTGATAGATAGATAGATAGATAGATAGATAGATAGATAGATAGATAGATAGATAGATAGATAAGAAAAAAAAAGAAGCACAATAAAACAGATTAAATTTATTTTAATAATTAAAAATATCAGAACCTAAAACAAATAAATTATTTTTACTAAAGTTCAAGTGTTAAATTTGAGAGATTAACACTATTTGCTAAAGCAGATACGAAGCTTGATATTCCTTCATCACCAATTTAATTTCCACTTTTTAAATATTAAAGAAAAAATATATTATTAATAAGTTAGTTAGAAGGAAAAAAATAATAATAATAATTAATGAATTAATTAGTTAATAATAAAAGCAAAATTTGAAAATAGACCAAATAAAAAGCTAATAAACAAATTAATAAATAAATTCATATTTTTTAAATTCATTTTTATATTTAAAAATATCACAGTTCAAAAACAATTAAACTGCTATTACTTAAGATTGAGTGTCAAAATTGTGAGATTAATGCAGTTTGCTAAAGCAAAACCTAATCCTAGTGCACATTTATCACTAAACGGAGTAAATCTTTTTAAATATTGAAAAAAATATATAAAATTAATTGGTTAGTTATTTAGTTATTTAGTTAAAAGGAAAGAATTAAAAAAACCTTTTTAAAATAATAATAAATAATAAAGGCAAAAGGTTTAAAATAAAAAATGAATTAAATTAATAAAGAAAGAAAGAAAGAAAGAAAGAAAGAAAGAAAAAAACATAAACACAATAAAAAAAATAAATCAAATAAAAAACTATTAAATAAATTAAAAGAGCTTTATTAAATTCATTTTTAAAATTAAAATATTGCAATCCAAATTAAAAAAAATGATTTTACTAAAGTCCAAATATCAAATTTTATAGATTAGTTAAATTTGCAAAAGCAGAACCTAAACTTAAGATACCTTCATCACCAATTTTATTGCAACTATTTAAACATTCAATAAAAAATTTATAATTAATTAGCTAGTTAGATAGTTAGAAGGAAAAAATTAAATTATAAAAAATTAATTTATAATAAAAGAAATTGTTGAAAATAAAAAAATAAATAAGTAAAATTAAACAGAATTAAGAACAATTAAAAAGAAAGAGAAAATTAATTCAAATAAAAAGCTATCAAATAAATAAATTAAAAGAGTTTTATTATTTTAAATTAATTTTTATATTAAAAAATATCACAATCCAAAACAAACAAATAAATATATAAACTGTTTTTACGAAAGTCCAAGTTTCAAATTTAAGAGATTAGTGCACTTTCCTAAACCAGAACCTAAGTTTGATGCGCCAAAATCACAAATTTAACTATTACTTTTTAAATATTAAAAAAAAGCATATAATTAATTAGTTAGAAAGTAAAAATGAAGAAAAAACATGAAATAATAAGAAATTAATTAATAATTAAGGAAAAAAGAGTTAATTTAATTAACAAATAAAGAAAAAAATAAATAAATAAAATAAGAAACTTTCAAATAAATTACAGAATTTTATTACTATAAATTCATTTTTATGATTAAAAATATCACAAATCAATACAAATGATATGTTTTTACCTAAGATAAAGTGCCAAATTTGAGAGATTAGTAAAATTTGCTAATGCTGAACCTATGCTTGATGTACCTTCATCACCAATTTAATTGTCACTTTTATTGAAGAAAAAATATTATTATTTAATTAGTTAGTTAGTTAGAAGGAAAAAATTAAGAAAAAGTAAGAAATGAATTATAAAAGTAAAAGTTGAAAATGAAAATGAAAAAAGAGTTAATTTAAGAAAGATTAAAAGAAAAAAAACGCAAGCAAAATAAAAAAAGAAAAAGAAAAAAAATCAAATAATTTAAAAGAGCTTATTGTTTTGAATTCATTTTTTTAATTAAAAATATCATAACCTAAAATAAATAAACTTTTTTTACTATAGTTCGAGTGTCAAATTTGAGAGATTAGTGCAATTAGCTAAACCAGAACATAAGCTTGATGCACCAATTGCCCCGATTTAATTGTTCCTTTTTAAATATTGTAGAAAAAATAAAAATTAATTATATAGTAAGAAGGAAAAATGAATAAACAAACAATATGTAATTAATTATTAGAAAGGAATTAATTAATAATAAAAGCAAAATTTGAAAATTTAAAAACGAGTTAAATTTAAAAGAAAAAAGTAAAAGAAAAAGAAATAAAAAATAAAATTTATCAAATAAATTAAAAGAGTTTAATTGTTTTAAATTCATATTTATTTTAAAAATAACACTATTTAATATAAATAAACTGTTTTACTAAAGTTTAAGCGTCAAAATTTAGAGATTAATGCTATTTGCTAACGCAGAACCTAAGCTTGATGCACCATTTGCCCAGATTTAATTACCTCTATTTAAATATTGAAGAAAAAATATATAATTAGTTAGTAGGAATAAGTATGAAATAATAATAAAATCAAAAGTTGAAAATTTATAAATTAATTAAATTGAGTAAGATAGAGGAATAAAAAATGCAAGAAAAATTAAAAAGAAAAAGAAAAATAAATCAAATAAAAATCTATCTAATATATTTATTAAAAGAGTTTTTTGTTTAAAGTAAATTTTATAATTTTAAATTTCACAATCCAAAAAAAAAATTGCTTTTACTAAAGTTCAAGTACCAACTTTGAAAGATTAGTTAAATTTACTAAAGCAGAACCTAAGCTTGATGCACCTATTGCACCAATTTAATTATAACTTTTTATATATTGATGAAAAAATAAAAAATTAACAAGTTAGTTAGAAGGAAAAAATAAGAAGCGAATTCATTTATTAATAAGAAAAGAAAAAGTTGAAAATAACAAAATGAGTTAAATTAGAGAGAAAGGAAACAAAAAAATAAGCATAATAGAAAAGAAAAAGAAATAAAATATAAAGCTAATTAATTAATTAATAAATTAAAATAGTTTTATTATTTTAAATTCATTTTTATAATTAATGATATCACAATTCATAACAAATAAACTGTTTTACCTAAGAGAAAGTGTCAAATTTGAGAGATTAGTGCAATTTGCTAAAGCAAAACTTAAGTTTGATGCACCAATTGCAGCAATTGAATTGTAACTTTTTAAATATTGAAAAGAAAATATATTATTAATTAATTAATTAATTAGTTATTTTGAAGGAAAAAAGGAAGAAAAAATATGAAATAATGATTTTATTAGGAAAATAATATGAAAAATAAATTGAAAGTTAATTATATTAAAAACATAATTATTAATAATTATTAATTAATAAATTAAACATACCTCAGATTAATATGGAGATCCTAATGAGATTAAAGTGAAGAGTTTAAAAACTTTTTTTATTTATAAAAATAAATTTAAAGTATTCTCATAAAAAATAAATAATTACTTCTTCTAATTTGTTGTAATATTTAAACTTTTATATCATTTATTTATTTATTTATTTTTAAAAAATATTAAATAGCAATTAATCGAAATTTAATTAATAAATTAATTATTAGTGGATAAAAAAGATAAATAAATATATAAATTATAGTAATTATGAAATATGAATTTTTAAATTTGCTTTTAGGAAGAGACATCACAAAAAAGTTAGTGTAATTAACATTCATCTTAATATTTCTATTTAAAGCTTACACTTAAAATATATTAGGAATTGGAGGTATGTAGTTAGAAATTGAAAAAATTCAAGTAATTACTTACTTACAAAAAAATGAATTATGAAAAAGCTCTAGACCACAAATTTTTCTTTATATCATGATTCTAACTATTTTATATGTAAAAATTTTTAATAGAAATATGAAGATTTAATAATTAATTTTAAGTTAAATTTTAACTTTTTTGTGATTTTTTCTCCTAAAAGTAAATTTATAAATTTATATCTGATAATTATTAAAATTGATTTGTTCATTTTATCTAAATTAATTTGATATAAAGGTTAATTAAATTGTTAATATACTTATAATAAACTAAATTTCAATAAATTTCGGTTCAATATTTATAATAAAAAAAATAAATGATACAATAGAAAAATGATTTTAATAATCTAGAAGAAGTAAATATTAAATTTTTTTTTATTAATTTGGTTTTAATTTATTTTTATTTATAACAAAAGTTTTTAAGCTTTTCACTTGAATCCTTTTAGGTTGTCCACATTGATCTGAATAATAAGTATACTTGATTTATTAATATTATTATTATTAATATTTTTTTTATTTAATTTTCAAATAATTTACAATTTTATTTTTCAAATTTAAATTAACATCTATATTAATACAAAATACTTTTTAGTTATTTCAAGCTAATTTTCATTCAATTTTTATTATGACTATTAATTATTTTTTTTCAATTTTATATTTTTTCTTCATTTTTTCCTTCTAACTAACTAATTAACTCTTTATTTTTTCTTTAATATTTAAAAAGAAATTAAATTGGTGCTTAAGACTTAGATTTTTCTTTAGGAAAGTGCACTAATCTCTCTAATTTGACAATTTCTCTAGCGTAAATTCAATTTATTTGTTTTGAATTGTGATATTTTTTACTCTTTTAATTTATTTATAGCTATTTATTTTATTTATTTATTTTTCTTTTTTTATTACTGATAAAAAGGTGGGATTCAATTGATTAAATTGGTGCATCAAAATTAGGTTCTGCTTTAGGAAACTGCATTTATCTCTCAAATTTAACCCTTAGTCTTGAGTAAAAAACAGTTAATTTATTTATTATAGATTGTGATATTTTTGAAAAAAAAATGAACATAAAAAAATATAACTAGCAAACTCATTTAATTTACTTATTTATTAGTTTTTTATTTTATTTATTTTTCTTTTTTTTATTCTACTTGTGTTTTTTATTTGTTTGTTTGCAAATTTAACTCATTTTTCATTTTCAAGTTTTACTTTTATTTTTTACTAATTTCTTATTATATTATATTTATCTTCATCTTTTATTCTAAAAAATAATTTACTTTATATTTTTTCTTCTATAATTTATTAAAAAGTGGAAATTAAATTGGCGTCATTGGTGCATCAGACTTAAGTTCTGGTTTAGGAAAGTGTACTAATCTCTAAAATTTGACGCTTAAACTTTGGTATAATACATTATTTGTTTTTAATTGTGATATTTTTGAATATAAAAATGAATTTAATATAACTAATTAAGTACTAACTCTTTTAATTTTTTAATTTATTAGCTTTTTATTTGATTTATTTTTCATTTTTTTTATTCTGTTTGTATTTTTTTATCTTTATTTCTTTTTTAATTTAACTAATTTTTTCATTTTCAAATTTTGATATTATTATTAATTTCTTATAATTCTTTCTAACATATTTAAATAATTAGTTTATATTTTTTCTTCAATATTTAAAAAGGGGAAATTCAATTCGTGATGAAGGTACATCAGGTTTAGGTTCTGGTTTAGGAAAATGCGCTAATCTCTCAAATTTATTTCTAAATCTAGGGTAAAAAAAGTTTATTTGTTTTAAATTTTAATATTTTTGAATAAAAAAAATAGTTTTAATTTTCTTATTTACTAACTTTTTATTTCATTCTTTTTTATTATTATGTTTATGTATTTATTTATTTATTTGTTAATTTTATTCATTTTTTAATTTTCATGTTTTTCTTTTTTATTATTAATTAATTTCTTATTATTTCGTATTTTTTCTTCATTTTTTGATTTTAACAAACTAATTAACTCTCTTTTTTTTCTTCAATATTTAAAAGGAAAAATTAAATTAGTGCAATTGGAGCATCAAACTTAGTTTATGATTTAGAAAAGTGCTCTAATCTCTCAAATTTTACACTTAATCTAGAGTAAAAAATGTTTATTTGCTTTGGATTGTGATATTTTTGAAGATAAAAATGAATTTAAAATAATTTTACAAATTATTTTAATTTTTTTATTTATTTGATTTTTATTTGATTTATTTTTCTTTTTTTATATTTTACTTTTGTTTTTTATTTCTTTGTTTATTAGTTAAATTAAATCATTTTTTCAATTTCAAGCTTTATTTTTTAATAAATTGAATTCTTATTTTTATCATATTTTTCTTAATCTTACCTTTTAACTAAATTATTAATGAACTCTTTGTGTTTTCTTCAATATCTAAAAAGTGGAAATTTAATTGGTGTAATTGGTGCTTAAAACTTAGGTTCTGCTTTAGGAAGGTGGAATAATCTCTCTAATTTGAAACTTTTTCTAATGTAAATACAATTTATTTATTTTAAATTGTGATATTATTGAATATAAACATAAATTTAAAACAATATAACTAACTAACTCTTTTAATTTTTTTGTTTATTTGCTTCTTATTTGATTTATATTTTTTTATTTTATACTATTAATGTTTTTGTTTGTTTTTTTGTTTATTAATTTAACTCATTTTTTCATTTTCAAAATTTGTTTTTATTATTAATTAATTAATTTATTATTTACTAATTATTTCATATTTTTCTTAATTTTTCATCCTTCTAACTAACCAATTCACTATATATTTTTTTATAATATTTAAAAAGTAGTAATTAAATATGCGGTGAAGGTGCATCAGGCTTAGGTTCTGGTTTAGGATATTGCCCTAACCTCTCAAATTTAACACTCAATCTAGAGTAAAAAAAAGTTTATTTGTTTTGGATTGTGATATTTTTTAATATAAAAATGAATTTAAAACAATATAACTAACTAACTTATTCTTTTTATTTATTTATTTACTTAATATTTTTTTATTTGATTTATTTATTTATTTTTTTTTATTTTGCTAGTGTTTAAATGTTTTTATTTTTAATTTAACTGATTTTTCATTTTCAAGTTTTACTTTTATTATTACTTATTATTTTATATTTTTTCTTTATTTTTCGTTTTAACTAACTTTTTAATTAATCATATAATTTTTCTTCAATATTTAAATAGTGGAAATTTAATTGATGATGAAGGTATATCAAGCTTAGTTTCTGGTTTAGGAAAGTGTACTAAACTCTCAAATTTGACACTTTATTTAGAGTAAAAAAAGTTTATTTATTTTGAATTGTGATATTTTAAAGTATAAAAATTAATTTAAAATAATATAACTAACTAACTAATTAACTCTTTTAATTTTATTTATTTATTAGCTTTTTATTTGATTAATTTTTCTTTTTTTTCTGCTTTTTATTTATTTATTTGTTTACTTATTCATATAACCCATTTTTTTATTTTCTAGTTTTGCATTTTAATTCTTATTATTTAAAATTTTTTCTTCATTTTTTCCTTTTTACTACCTAATTAATTATATATTTTTTCTTCAATATTTAAAAAGGGAAAATTCAATTGGTGCAAATGGTGCATCAGACTTAGGTTCTGGTTTAGGAAAATACTCTAATCTCTCAAATTTGACCCTTGATCTTTAGTAAAAACAATTTATTTGTTTTGAATATTTTGAATATAAAAATAGATTTAAAACAACATAACTAACAAATTAACTCTCTAAATTTATTTATTAGCTTTTCATTTTATTTATTTTTCTTTTTTTATATTCTACTTGTGTTTTTATTATTTATTTATTTGTTTATTTGTTTGTTTGTTAATTTACTCATTTTTTCATTTTCAAATTTTGTTTTATTATTAATTAATTAATTTCTTACTATTTATTTCATATTTTTCTTTATTTTTCCTTATGACTAACTAACTAACTAATTAATTAATTAACTCTTTATTTTTTGTTGAATATTTAAAAAGTAATAATTCAATTGGTGATGAAGGTACATTAGGTTTAGGTTCTGGTTTAGGAAAGTGCGGTAATCTCTCAAATTTGACACTTGACCTACAGTAAAAACAGTTTATTTGTTTTTGATTGTGATATTTTTGAATATAAAAATGAACTCAAAATAATAAAACTAACTAACTCTTTGAATTGATTTATTAGAATTTTATTTGATTTATTTTCCTTTTTTATTCTGCTTTAGTTTTTGTTTATTAATTAATTTAACTTCTTTCTTCATTTACAAGTTTTGCTTTATTTATTAATTAAGTCATTTTTTATTATTTAATATTTTTTCTTAATTTTTACCTTTTTACTAACTAATAAATAAAAAAATTTTTCTTCAATATTTAAAAAGGGAAAATTCAATCGGCGCAATTGGTGCATCAGACTTAGGTACTGGTTTAGGAAAGTGCACTAATCTCTCAAATTTGATACTTGATCTAAGGTAAAAATATTAATTAGTTCCTTTCTTTCTTTGTTATTATTTCATATTTTTTCTTAATTTTTTCTTCTAGCTTACTAATTAATTAGCAAAATTTTTTTTTTTCAATATTTAAAAGTGGAAATCCAAATATTGATGAAGGTGTATCAGGCTTAGGTTCTGGTTTAGGAGAGTGCACAGGTCTCTCAAATTTGACACTTAAATTTTGGTAAAAACACTTTATTTGTTTTTGATTGTGATATTTAAATACAAAAATGAATTGAAATAATATAATAAACTAACTCTTTTAATTAATCTATTAGCTTTTTTTTTGATTTACTTTTTTTATTTTTTTATTCTGCTTGTGTTTTTATGTATTTATTTGTTTGTTTGTTAATTTAACTCATTTTTCAGTTTTGCCTTTATTATTATTCATGAATTAAATTTCTTAATATTACACACTTTTTCTTCATTTTATCCTTCTAACTAACTAACTAAATAAGGAGATAAATATGTTTTCTTTTATTTACAAAGGGAAAATTAAATTGGTGCAACTGGTGTATCAGACTTAGTTTCTGCTTTAAGAAAGTGTGTTAATCTCTCAAATTTAGAACTTGATCTTTTGTAAAAACAAAAAAACAAACAGCTTATTTATTTATTTTGGATTGAGATATTTAAAATTTAAAAATTAATTTTAAAAAATAAATAATAATTTCTTTTAATTTTTTTATTTATTTATTAATTAGCTTTTTATTTGATTTATTTTTCTTTTTTTGCTTTATATTTTTTCGGTTATTTATTAATTTCTTTGTTTGTTAATTTAACTCTTTTTTTTATTTTCAAGTTTTACAGTTAACTAATTAACTAAATATGTTTTCTTCAATATTTAAAAAGTGAACATTAAATTGGTGCAATTGGAGCATAAAACTTAGGTTCTGCTTTAGGAAAATGCATGAATCTCTCGAATTTGGCACTTAATCTTTTGTAAAAAACAGTTTATTTGTTTTGGATTGTGATATTTTTGAATATAAAAATGAATTTATAGCAAACAATATTACTAACAAACCCTTTCAATTTATTTATTTATTTATTTTCTTTTTTTAATCTTTAAAAAGTAAAAATTAAATTGGCGGTGAAGGTGCATCAGGCTTAGGTTCTGGTTTAGAAAAGTGTACTAATCTCTCAAATTTAACACTTGATCTTGGGTAAAAAAAAAAAGTTTGTTTCTTTGTTTCTTTGTTGTGGGTTGTGATATTTTTGAATATAAAATAATTTTAAAACAATTTATTTATTCATTATCTTATGATTTGATTTATTTTTCTTTTTTTTATTTTGCTTGTGTTTTTTATTTATTTGTTTGTTTGATTGATTGCTAATTTAACTCATTTTTCAGTTTAAAATTTTACATTTATTATTAATATTTAATATTTTTCTTCACTATTTCATCCTTTTAACTAGAAAATTAACTTTTTATTTTTTCTTCAATATTTAAATAGAGAAAATTAAATTGGTGATTAAGGATCATCAGACTTAGTTTCTAGTTTAGTAAGGTGCACTAATCTCTCAAATTTGACACTTGATCTTTAGTAAAAATAGTTTATTTGTTTTGAATTGTCATATTTAAAAATTTAAATATTTATTTATTTGCTTTTTTTTTTGATTTATTTTTTTTTTTATTCTGCTAACTAACATTTGAATTATTTGTTATTTTATATTTTATTTAAAATTATTTTTATTCTCTTTATTTTTAGTAATTAATTTACACGAATTTATAAAAAAAGTAACAACAATATCAATTATACAAAATAATTGAAAGCAAAATGCCTTAAATCTAAAAGATTAGTTGGCTTAAAAATAATATATTGAAAAACTAGCTGGCGAAATGAAGATAAATAATATATTTGAATACTTTAATATAATATGTTTTATATTTTAATATTTTGTTAGCAGATAAATTAACCTAAAATATCCATAGATAGATTGATTTTTTATAATTTTTATATTTATCAATGAAATATTTTAATAAGTTATTTAATAAATAGTTTATTAAATAAAACAAAATTTAAGTATTAAATTTACTTAAATAAGGTAATTCCTTTAAAATGAACCAAGAAATTTTACCATTAACAGTCAAAGCTTATTATAATAGCTGATGTCTTATTATGTATTGTTAAATTATATTAATATGAATCTTTTATTTCAAAGATTTAAATTAAATTAATTAATAATGGAAATTAATATGATTTTAAGCATATAACTATACTCAAATAATTATTTCTTGAGTAAGAATTATATATTTTGAAGAACGATAAATATTATTTAATAAAGTAATAAAAAATTTAAAGAAATCAAAAAAATATTTTGAAGCAGGTTTATAAAATGATAGCATAAAAAAATAACTAAAAATTGTTAATCTTAATTATTAATTTTATCTTAAAATTTAACTTTTTTGTAATTTCTGGTCCATCCTAAAAGCAAATTTATAATATATATTTGATAATTATTAAAATTTAATTGTTAATTTTATCTAAATTAATTTGATATAAAAGTTAATTAATTAAATTTCAATAAATTGCTATTCAATATTTTTTAGATAAAAAAATAAATGATGTAATAGAAAAATTATTTTAATAATCTAGAAGAAGTAAATATTTATTTTTTATTGATTTAGTTTCAATTTATTTTTATTAATAACAAAAGTTTTTAAGCTTTTCACTTTAATCATTTTAGGTTCTCCATATTGATCTGAGATATAAGTAAGTACGTTTGTTTGTTTGATTTATTAATATATTATTATTAATGTTTTTTTTATTTAATTTTCAAATGATTTACATACAACTTTATTTTTCAAATTTAATTATCATCAAAATTAATACAAATATTTTTTAATATTTAGCTAATTTTCATTCAATTTTTATTAGGATTATTAATTTTTTATTTTTTCTTCATTTTTTCCTTCTAGCTAGCTAAATAACTAACGATATATTTTTTCATCAATATTTATTTAAAAAGAGTTATAATTGATGCATAAGACTTAAGTTCTGCTTTAGGAAAGTGCACTAATCTCTAAAATTTGACACTCAATCTAGAGTATAAAAAGTTTATTTATTTTTAATTGTGATATTTTAGAATATAAAAATGAATTTAAAACAATATTATTAACTAATTAACTAGCTAACTAACTCTTTTTATTTATTTATTTATTAACTTTTTATTTGATTTATTTATTTTTCTTTTTTTATGCTGCTTGTTTTTATTATTTATCTATTTATTTTTTTGTTAATTTAACTCATTTTTATTTTTTCTTTATTTTTTCATCCATATAACTAACTAACTAAGTAATTACTTACTTACTTACTTACTCTAAAACCTTAACTAATTAATAAATGCCTCAATGGGGTTTTGAAGAAAATTTTAGATCTATCCTCTAAAAAATATTTATTTTTTAAGGAGGATAGAGGCTTTGAACGAGATTTTAGAGTAGCTAAACGTTTTTTCTTGAATATTTAAAAAGGAATAATTCAATTAATGAAATTGGTGCATAAAACATAGGTTCTGCTTTAGGAAACTGCACTTTTCTTTAAAATTTGACCCTTAATCTTGGGTAAAAACAGTTTATTTGTTTTGGATTGTGATATTTTTGAAAAATATTATTTTATTTTTCAATTATAATTAAATTTAAGCAAACATACAAAATAAAAAGGAATATAAACAAATATAACTAGCAAACTCATTTAATTTATTTATTTATTAGCTTTTTATTTTATTTATTTTTCTTTTTTTTATTCTACTTGTGTTTTTTATTTATTTATTTGCTTACTAATTTAACTAATTTTTTTTTTCAAGTTTTGATTTAATTATTAATTAATTAATTTCTTATTCTTATGTGTTTTTCTTCTATAATTAATTAAAAAGTGGAAGTTAAATTGGTATCATTGGTGCATTAGACTTAAGCTCTGGTTTAGGAAAGTGCACTAGTCTCTCAAATTTGACACTTAAACTTTGGTAAAAATACTTTAGTTGTTTATAATTTTAATTACTTTTAAGAATTTAAAATAAAATAACAACTAACTAACACTTCTAATTTTTTAATTTATTAGCTTTTTATTTGATTTCTTTTTCATTTTTTATTATTTTCTTAATCTTTTATTTATTTATTTGTTAATTTAACTCATCTTTTGATTTTCAAGTTTTGTTTTTATGATTAATTTCATACTATTCCATCTAATTACCAAATTAATAATATATTTTTTCTTCAATATTTAAAAAGGGGAAATTAAATTAGTGACGAAGGTACATCAGGTTTAGGTTCTATCTTAGAAAAGTGTACTAATCTCTCAAATTTAGCACTATATCTAGAGTAAAAACTGTTTATTTGTTTTAAATTTTAATATTTTTGAATATAAAAAACAATTTTAATTTATTTATTTATTAACATTTTATTTCATTCTTTTTTTTATTCTGCTAATGTTTTTTTTATTTATATTAAACTAATTTTTTATTTTTAAGTATTGATTTTATTATTAATTTCTTATTATTTCATATTTTTCTTGATTTATTTTTTATTTTTAATATAGTATTTCACTCTATATTTTTTTTTCAATATTTAAAAAGGAATAATTCAATTTTTGAAATTGGCGTATCAAACTTAGTTTCTTGTTTAGAAAAGTGCTCTAATCTCTCAAATTTTACACTCAATCTATAGTAAAAAAGTTTATTTGTTTTGGATTATGATATTCTTGAATATAAAAATAAATTTAAAATAATATAGCAAACTATTTTTATTTTATTAGTTATTTGCTTTTTATTTGATTTATTTTTCTTTTTTATATATTCTGCTTTTGTTATTTATTTATTTCCTTGTTTATTAGTTAATTTAACTCATTTTTTAATTTTCAATTTTTGTTTTTTAATAAATTTATTTCTTATTATTTCATATTTTTCTTAATTTTACCTTTTAACTAATTAACTAACTAACTAATGAGCTATATATGTTTTCTTCAATATTTAAAAGTGGAAATTTAATTGGTGAAACTGGTGCATAAGAATTAGGTTCTGCTTTAGGAAAGTGCACTAATCTCTAGAATTTAAAACTTTTTCTAAGGTAAATCAAATTTATTTGATTTAATTTTTTTATTTCTTAGATTTTTATTTTATTTATTTTATTTTATTCTACTTGTGTGTTTTTTTGTTAATCTAATTCGTTTTTTCAATTTCAAATTTATAAAAAGTTAACTTCTTATTATTTCATATTTTTTCTTCATCTTTCTAACTAATTAATTTACTATAATATATTTTTTCTAAAATATTTAAAAAGTGTTAATTCAATTGGCGGTGAAGGTGCATCAAGCTTGGTTTCTGGTTTAGGAAATTGCACTAATCTCTCATGCTTGAGACTCAATATAGAGTAAAAAAAATTTATCTGTTTTATAAAAATGAATTTAAAACAAAAAAAACTAACTAACTATTTTAATTTATTTATTTAATAGTTTTTTATTTGATTTATTTTTTATTTTTTCATTTTCTAGTTTTGCTTTTATTATTGATTTATTAATGTCTGTCTTATTATTTCATATTTTTTTCTTCATTTTGTCCTTTTAACTAATTAATTAATTAATTATTGTTTCTTCAATACTTAAAAAGTGGAAATTCTATTGATGATGAAGGTATATCAAACTTAGCTTCTGGTTTAGGAAAGTGCACTAATCTCTCAAATTTGGCACTTAATCTAGAGTAAAAAAAGAACTCTTTTAATTAATTAATATATTAGCTTTTTATTTGATTGAATTAATATAACCCATTTCATTTTTTAGTTTTATTTTTTAATTAATTAATTTCTTATTATTTCATATTTTACTTAATTTTACCTTTTAACTAACTTATTAACAATTTATGTTTTCTTTAAAAAGTGGAAATTTAATTAGTGAAATTGGTGCATCAGACTTAGGTTCTGGCTTAGGAAAGTGCACTCATCTCTCAAATTTGACACTTTTACTTTAGTAAAATTTATTCTATTTGTGTTTTTTTTCATTTATTTGCTTGTTTGTTAAATTAACTCATTTTTTCATTTTCAAATTTTCTTTTATTATTAATTAATTTCTTATTATTTCTTCATTTTTTCCTTTTACCTAACTAATTAATTAACTCTTTATTTTTTCTTCAATATTTAAAAAGTTAAAATTGTTTTGGTGATGAAGGTACATCAGGTTTAGGTTCTGGTTTAGGGAAGTGCAAGAATCTCTAGAATTTGACACTTGACCTAGAGTAAAAACAATTTATTTATTTTGGATTGTGATATTTTTGAATATAAAAATGAATTGAAAACAATAAAGCCAACAAACTCTTTTAATTGATTTATTAAATTTTTATTTAATTTCTTTTCTTTTTTTTATTCTGCTTGTGTTTTTGTTTATTAATTAATTTAAATTCTTTTTTCATTTTCAAGTTTTGCTTTTTTTATTAATTAATTAAATCATTTCTTTTTATTTAATATTTTTTCTTATTAACTAATTAATTAATTATTTCTTAAATATTTAAACAGATCAAATTCAATTAAGGAAATTGGTGCATCAGACTTAGGTTCTGGTTTAGGAAAGTGCACTAATCTCTCAAATTTGACACTTAATCTGATGTAAAAATAGTTTATTTATTTTGGATTGTGATATTTTTGAATATAAAAATGAATTTAAAAAAATATAACTTACTAATTAACTCTTATAATTAATTAATTTATTTATTATCTTTTTTTGTATTCATCTATTTTTTTTTTTTAATGATTGAGTTTTTTATTAAATTAATTATTTGTTTGTTTGTTAATTTAACTAATTTTTTCATATTCAAGTTTTGCTTTTATTATTAATTAATTGATTAATTTATTTCTTATAATTTCATATTTTAATTTTTTCTTATAGATTACTAATTAACTTAAATTTTTTTTTCAATATTTTAAAAGTGAAAATTCAATTGGTGATATAGGTACATTAGGATTAGGTTCTGGTTTAGAAAAGTGCACTATTCTCTCAAAACTGACACTTAAATTTTGGTAAAAACACTTTATTTGTTATCTTCATTGTTTTCATCCTTCTAACTAACTATCTAATTAACTATATATTTTTTCTACAATATTTCAAAAGTGGAAATTCAATTAGCGATAAAGGCATATCAGGCTTAAGTTCTAGTTTAGTAAAGTTCACTAATCTCTAGAATTTGACACTTAATCTTAGGTAAAAACAGTTTATATCTTTGTTGTGGATTGTGATATTTTTGAATAAAAAAATAATTTAAACAATTTATTGATTTATTTTCTTAAGATTTCATTTATTTTTCTTTTTTTAAATTCTGCTTGTGTTTTTTATATATTTTCTTCTTTGTCTGTTTGCTTGTTAATTTATCTTATTTTTTCAGTTTCAAATTTTACTTTTATTATTAATTTCTTAATATTAAAATTTTTCATCCTTTTAACTAACAAATTAACACTTTATTTTTTCTTGGATATTTAAAAAGGGATAATTAAATTGGTGATTAAGGATCATCAGACTTAGTTTCTAGTTTAGGAAAGTGCACTAATCTCTTAATTTTGACACTTGATCTTTAGTAAAAATAGTTTATTTGTTTTGAATTGTGATATTTTTCTATTTCAAAATTAATTTAAAACTATATTTTTAAATATTTATTTTTCTTTTTTTTATTCTGCTAACTAACATTTATTTGAATTATTTATTGATTTAAAACTTTATCTTGATTTTTAGTTAAAATAAATAGTTTATTTGTTTTAAATTGTGATATTTTTGAATTAATTTAAAACTATCTATCTATCTATTTATTAATTTGTTTTTTATTTCATTTATTTTTTCTTTTTTTTATTCTGCTAACTAACATTTATTTGAGTTATTTATTGATTTAAAATTTTATATTTATACTAATTTATAAAAAGTAACAACGATATCATGAAACCAAAATAATTGAAAGTAAAATGCCTTAAATCAAAAAGATTAGTTGGCTTAAAAATAAAATATTGAAAAACTGGTGAAATGAAGACGGATGGATTATTATAAATAAATTTTTTTATTTGAATACTTTAATTAATATAATATGTTTTATACTTGAATATTCTGTTATCAGATAAATTAACCTAAAATATAGATTTTTGTGTATAGATTTATTATTATTATTTACATGTGTAAATACTGTAAGTTCTCATATATTAACACCCCCCCCCCCCATAAATTTTTGAAAATTTTTTGGGTGTCAAAAATCTGCTTCAAAAATTTTTTTATTTTTTTTAATTTATTTAATAATATATATTATTCTATTAAATGTATATTTCTTACTAAAGAAATTATTATACGAGAATTACTATATATTAAATTATAAAGATTTTTTTAAAAAGTAATTTGATATAATAAAATTTTTTTTCTTAACTAATAAAAAACGATTTATAATTCATTTTTTTTGTAATAAAAAAACAAAAATTTAGCCATTTTAATATTATGATAAAGCTTTTTAAGATATCAACTCAACAAATATTAAATAATAAAAATTATTTTATTTTTATGCAATATAATTGTATAAATGAAACAAATGTATAACTAAGATTTGAATTGTTAAAAATTACATTCTAAATTTGTTAAAAATTAGAATTCACAAAATTAAAAAGAGCAAAATTTAAGTTTCAGTACTTGATCCAAAATTATTACCTATTTAAAAGGTATTCAATGTTTTATCTTAAATTAATTTGTAAAATTTTGCAAATATTAAAGTATTATAGATCTGCTTAATCTTAACACTTACTTTAGAAAATTTAGGAGAGATATTTTAAAAATAATCTATTTATACTTTTGAAAATTAATCACTAACTGATTTATTTACTAGTTAATATTTACTTATATGAGTCTAGTAGTTTGCTCTCTAAAATTATTAAAACTAAATTTATAGCTTGCGTATTAATGAATGTTATTTATATAACTATCACTAAGATTAAATTTCTTTGACGCATGCTTGAAAGTAGTTTTTTTAGTCATCTATTAAGACTATTAAATTATTACTAGTAAAACGCAAAGTTATATTTTAATGAGCTTTTATAAATAGAATTCTTCAAAAGCATTTTCAAATAATATTGATGCTATTTAGCTTTTAACAAAATTTGAGTGTTGTTTATAAATTTTATACTCACACATTTTACAAATATATAAGGGAATTTATTTGTCATCTAAAAATGTAGCGATCTACTTGCATTTAATTTTAAAAAGTAAAATTTTCAAGCTCTTATTTTGTATGACAATCTATTTTACTATCATTTAAGGATAATAAATCAAGATCCAAAAAAAAAATTAATATATGACAAGATTTAAATTTAGTAATTAAAAAATCTGCCAGCTAAAGTTACGAAAGTATTACTTGATATTAATTAACTTTTAAAGTTAATTAATTTAAGAAATCTATCTTACTGAATAAATTAGAACCAATTATTAAAATCTACCTCTATAAATTTAGTTTTATAAAGAGAACATTCTCTTTTAAATACTGGCGCATCCAATAGTAAAAATTTATAATTCAAATTAAATTAAAAATAATAAAATCGAAAAAATATGAGAAAACTCTGCTTAATTCTTGCTTTGTTCTTTATCAGTACTTTAGCTGATACAAATCTTAAATGCCCACCAAACAGTGAGATAGATTTTTCTGGTAAGTGTGCTTGCCTTGAAGGATATTACGGTAATAGCGCTGACGATTGCAAGTAATGCCCTGAAAATACTAATTCATTAAAAGGTTAAGGTCTTAGTTATAATACTGGACCTGGCATCAATGTTTCAGCATGCAAGTATTGTTAAAAATTTTACTTCGTTTCTAAAGATGCTACCTCAGATTCTGCTGCAACTTGTTCTAAATGTGAAAATAATTCTATTGCTGGTATATAATAGTCTTACGCCAGAAAAGAGAGTGAAGCTTGTGATTCCTGTGATGAAGGTTATTATTGGAATACTTCTGATGGTAAGAAGGTTTGCAAATCTTGCGGAGATAACGGTTCAACTCCATCAGACCCCAAAAATTCAGGTGTAGATGCTTCTCAATGCAATATTTGTACATTTAATTACTATATGACTAAGAGTGCAGATAAAGATGCTGGTAAATCTGCTGAATGTGTGTAATGCCCACCATTTTCTTAATCTGCAAAATAATCTTTTGTAGGTTCAATTGAAAATTGCAGATGCTTTGATCGTAATGCAGAAGAGTTATCTTCAACTGTATCTTCTTGCTAATGTAAATAAGGATATGCAGGAGAGGTTGCTAAAAATTCATCCAAAGATACTATTGGATGTCAAATTGCTTGTGGAACTAATGCTTCATACAAAGATGGAAAATGTACATGTAATAAAGGTTATTACGGAAAAGACGCTTCTTATGGCTAAACTTGTTAGAAATGTCCTGATTTTGCTATATCTACTCCATGCGTTGGAACAGATACTTGCAATACTGGTAAATATGGTGATGTTAAATAATGTTACGCATGTATAGAAAACTACTACGGCATTGAGAAAGCTGGTGGGTTTGGTGATGATGCTCATGGAGCTAAATGTGTTCCTTGCCCTAAAAATTCATATTTATCAGAAGGATCTTTAGGCTGGTGCTAATGTTTTGATAAGAATGCTTCAGATTTAAATTGGTCAGTCACTGAGTGTAAATGCAAATATGGATATACCGGAAATGTTGCAACATCTAAAGACGGGCCTGGTTGTGTAAAAGAATCAGATGAGCCAGAATCTACCGAAAAAGGCGACAACAATTCTGGATCTTCTAATAGCAATAACAATTCATAATCCAATGGTAGCAATGGTAATAGTGGATCTTCCAATAATAATAATACTAATTCTGGAACTTCTGGAAATAATAATAATAATAATAGCAATAATAATAATAATAATTCTGGATCTACTGAAAATAAAGATAAAGCCTAAGAATCATAAAACGCTGATGTTAAAACATCTTCTAAATAACTTTAAGTTTTAGCTTTTATGATATTATTCGCTATATTAATATGAAATTTTTAATACATCAATTAATATTTTCAAAGTATTTTTATGCATGTATGTGTGAGTGTCTTGCTACTTATGAAAGTAATTAAGATATTTTTTTAAATGAATTCAGCATTTATTTTTAAAAACAAAATTAAGTTAATTAAAACATTGATTAAGATGAAGATATTTTAGATATTTATTATTTATTAGATTTACAATATGATTTTAAAAGTTCAACTTAAATACTTTAATTATAAGATTATTTCATTACTTTAAAAATTAATTATTTAGATTTTCTACTTATTTATATTAAAAAAAGCTGAAATTACTATCTTCAAAAAAACACTAAAAATTATTGCAATTTTATATTACTAAAGTAGAAGTAATTAATTGCTATTAAGATGAAGGTAATATTAAGGATGTAAATAAAGAAATAAAAAACTATTAAAATATTAAGAGAAGACAGACAGACAGACTCACATCGCAGCATACTAATTTTGTACTTAAAGATAATAGTTAGTTAGAATTTATTTGTTTTTAGCAATCAAATTCATTTTTTTTCTTGATTAATTCAACATCATCTAAATAAAATGAAAGTCTCAGAAATAAATATGAAGAAGAACTAACATTTACATTTAAAGCAATCAAAAAACCCTTAAAGAACCCTGTCTAAATCACTAATCATTATTTGTTTTTGAGAATTTTACTCTACAATATAATCAAAAAGAAAGAAAGAAAGAAAGAAAGAAAGCAAGCAAGCAAAAATATGGAAGATAAAATAAAGTGATTTGTATAAAAATATCTGTAAGTTGAAAAAGAAATTAAATCAAAAAACTAAATATTTAAGTTTTGACAGATAAAAACACTACTTTTTGAAATAACCAGCAGATAGAATAATAATTTTTGAAAATAATGATTTTAAAGGATTTAGTAATGATTTAGATTTCTTAGTTATGTTTACTATCTATTAGCATGAACTCATTCAAATGTAAGATTTATAAACAAGTACTTGCTTTAATTTACTATGAATAAATGATGGACAAATAATTGATTTCCATTCAAGAATATTTTCAAAATTAATCATACATTTTTATTAGGTAATAGTTGATATTGATTACATTAATTTAATTATTTTTAATTATTTTTTACATTCATTAATTTTGATTAATTATGATACTAGTTGAAAGCAAAAATTTCAATCAAATGTAATATAAATATTTTTTACTTAGTATTTAAAAGCTTGTTTGCTTAACCAAATTATATGCTATTTTTTTGTTTTGATTTTGTTGATTTTAGAAATATTTAGATACTAATGTCTCTTGTATTTTAAAACTATTTTGTTTAGTAAGGAATAAGATAAAATTAGATGGACTATCCATCCATAGATACCAAAAGAAACATTTTTTGGTTTGTTAATATTTTCTAAAATTTACATTAAATAAAGAAGATAGTTAGCTCATAATTAAAATAGCTGAAATAATTATCTTCTAATAAAAATGTAATATTAAAGGTATTGACTATAACTAAATTTAAGTAGAATAATTTGCATGAAACAAATTATTAATTTTCATTCATTTATTTTATATGTTTGAATAATTAAAGCTTGTAAATGTTTGTTTCAGTAATAGTTGATTTTGATTAGTAATACATACATACAACAAACATTCATATATTAATATGAGAGAAGTTAATAAATAAACTTTAACTTTTTTTTTGGTTAATAAAATAAAAGTGAACAAAAAGATAGAATAAATACTCCATTTTTACTTTAAAAAAATGAGACTGATAAGTAAAATTTTAATAGTTACGCTAGTTAATTATAATTTTAATATACCTATACATGAAATTATATGTTAATTTAATAGATTAAATTGTGTTCAGAATATTATTACTAATTAAATTACTAGTAAATTTTTTGATCAATAATAAAACAGCTTCGCTTTCGCTGTATTATTTAACATAATCTTTTACTGTTTTATTTGTTAAAAAAATTTATAAATTTGTTTATAATCAGCTTCTTATAGCTATTTAAATTTAAGTCATAAGAATTTAAAGGGTTTTAATCATCATTTTTCACTGTTCCTTTTATTTGACCAGATCATGTTCATTAGAAATTTTATTCAAAAAATGAATATTTTTTTGATCTTTTGCACATTTTAAAACTTACTATGGCTCTAATATAAAAAATATCTTTGTTTATATTGAATAAATATCAACAAAATATTGTTAATATGGCTTTAATCAAGGATAAATAAAGCATAATATCCTCACTTAGATAAAATATTTTTTTGATTATCTATTACGCATGTAAAATAACCTATATTTTATTTTTCTCTCTCTTATTTTTATAATACCAACTACTTATATTATTGTTCATATTGCTTCAAAAAATACTCTGAATTTAATTTATGCCATTTCTAATCAAGTAAAATTTTAAAATAAAATAATGAAATTTATCTTGTAATTATAATAATTATTTTATTTAATATTTTTGGTTATCTCAAAGCTATTTGAGCGAAAGCTAAAAAAATATTACAAGCTAAATTTTGTATTGATTAAAACTAGATATCAAAATGAACTATAACTAACAAAATCATAAGTAAATAAATCAATAAGATAGTTAGTTAGTACTAAATAAATTGAAGAAAAATAATTAATTAATTTTATCAAGTTATATTAAGCTAACTCATTAGTATTAATTAATTAGTTTCTGATTAATCTTGCTGATTGTAAATTAATAAATTTTTGCTAATAAATACTGACTGACTGAGCAAATTAATTGGAATACATTTAAAAAATACAAGTAAATTATATAAAGAAGTATCAATCAATATTTTTTAAAAAGACTTATAATAAGATAGCGCGATTCCTTTATAGGGGGTGGGTTACTTTTATATGTATCACGTATTATAAAAATTTTTATTATTTAGTTTTCTAAAATAAATAAAGTTAATTAAAATGATTTATTAATATCCCTGGTGAAAAATATTTATTTATTTATATTATTTTTTATAAAAGATATTATTATAATGTCAAAAAAAAAAATTAATTTCTTTAAAATTAAGTATTTTCTAATAGATCTAATATATGCATTCTAAATAGCTTAAACAAACACAGATAAATAATTGTTACTTGATTAACTATTACTATCTATTCATTTTTATTGATGAAAATATCTTTATTTCATATCTTGATAAAGAGTTATAGTTAAAGAGAATATTATTATTATTATTATTCGTAAATTGTTAAGTTACGCTTTATATAATACAAATTCTTCATTATTTAGTTTACTATTATGAAATTATAAATGTGCAATTTTTTTTATTCAAAATTTCATTTTCAAGCAAAGATTTACTAGCTTAGTGAGAGCTAACTTGTTTATTGATTATAAATTAATGCACTTAATTTTAGACAATTTAATAAAAATTTGACTCTCCAGCTGGTTTATTAAATTTGCAATTTTATTAAAAATAAGTACTGAAGTCATACATAATCAAATTAATAGAACGAATAGACCTCAACTTATTTATTAAAAAATTAATCAGTTAAATTATACGCAAACTATTACTGAATACTGCTGCCTTTTTCAAATTGTATGATGAAGCAATTATCAAATTTATAACTTTCTAAAATTAATTTTGGATTCAAACTGCATATATGTATGTATATATGTATATTAAGCAAATAATTAAGTCTTCAAACAATTATAAATTGCAAAACAGATAAAACATAAAAATTATAATTAAAATCAAATTAAAAATCAATCTAAAAATTAAATATCTCAAGTTTAAAAAAAAATGAAAAAATAATTGATAGTGTTTGCTTTGTTAGGTATATTTGCTTTAGCCGAAGAACAATGCCCAGAAAATAGTTTCCTAAAAGATGATAAATGTGTTTGTAAGGCAGGATACTATAGCGAGAGTGCTGATAAATGCCTTAAATGCCCAGATAATACTACTTCTTTTCCTGGTTTATATTATAACACTTACCCTGAAGCTACTGCTGGAGATTGTAGAAAATGTTAAAACAATTACTATGTTACAGGTAAAGCAACTAAAGAAAAATCTGCTACTTGCTCTAAATGTCCTGATCATTCCATAAATAGAAGATAATTAGAAGATGTCTAAACTGAAGCTGAAGCTTGCACAGAATGCGAATATGGTTACTATTGGGATAATTCTAGTGGTAAAAGAGTTTGCTCACCTTGCGGAAGCGAAGGAGCTATTCCTGCTGATAAGGAATAAACTGGAAAAAATCCCTCATTTTGCAATAACTGCTAAGCAGGTTACTTTATGACTAAAGCTGCAGATGAAAAAGCTGGTACAGCAGCCTAATGCTCAAAATGCCCAGAATACTCTGGTAGTACTATATAAACAGATGTTGGATCAATTGCAAATTGCTCTTGTGAGGATAGACTAGCTGAAAAATTATCAGAAAGCGTTCAAACTTGTAAATGTAAAGCAGGTTATGCTGGGTAAGTATCTAATAGTTCTGCAGTTTCAGGATGTGAAGTAGCATGTGCTGAAAATGCATCCAAATATGATGGTAAATGTGCTTGCAAAAAAGGATACTATGGAATAAATGCTGCTTATGGAGGTAAATGCGAAAAATGTCCTGAGCTTACTATCTCTAATCAATGTCATCGTGGAGATTGTAATACTGGTGAAGAAAGAGGAAAGATTACTAGTTGTAATTCATGTATTGAAAATTACTATATTGTAGAATTTGCTGGCGGATTTGGCCCTGACGCTAAGGCTGCAACATGCAAAGCCTGTCCTGAAAATTCTTATAATGAAGAAGGCGGACATGGTTTTTGTAAATGCTTTGATAAATATGCCGACAGCTTAAATTACAGCAGTACAAAATGTGAATGCAAGTACGGATATACAGGGAATGTTGCCACAACAAAGGATGGAACTGGATGTGTTAAGGAAGGATCATCCAATTCAGGTTCATCAGGTAGTAACAGTAATTCTGGATCATCAGGAAATAGCAGTAGCAACTCTGGTTCTTCTGGTAATAGTAATAACAATTCTGGTACTTCAGGCAATGGTAGTAGCAATTCTGGTTCTTCAGGCAACAATAACAATTCAGGATCTTCAATTAACAATGAAAATTCAGGAAAGAAAGATAAGGAAACATCAGAATCCTAAAGTATTAATGTCAATACTAATTCTGCAAACCTTTAAATTTTAGCACTTATGATGTAATTAGCTATTTTAATTTGAATAAGTTAAATAAATATATTTCTTATAATAAAATTATTTCTTACATAAAATTTTGATGTATAAATATATATATATATATATAATTTGCTTATTTTTTCAATTAAATTCATATCGCATACCATATATCCTTTAACTTTATGGAATCCAACCAAGATTTTACTTCTATTTATTTTTAGTATGAAATTATTTGATTATTAAATAATTAATTAACATTTTTCTTAAAAATAATTAAACATGTTATATTATAAAATTAAAATCTACTATAAATTAAAAATTTAATATCTGAAATTACATAATTAGTTTAATTAAAATATCATAAAGCAAAGATTTTATGATAAAAAATCAAATTATTTATTTAATTAATCTACTTTATTTATAGCAAATAAATCCAGTAATTAAATTCTTATTTTTCCACAGCCACAAGAATTTAATTAATACCTGGAAGTGCTATAATGTTGTATAAATAAATAGCGTCGTATCCAATTATAATAGCATAATCTACATTGACATAAATTATATTTTAAATTTTGTAATTTTTATATTTATCTACTTTAAAAAGTGAGATTTTGAGCAGAATTTATAAGCCTTAAATTATTAACTTCTAGTAAAAAAGTAAGATTAAGAGTTGATAATTATCTGAATATTGGTAGAACAATTCGCTATGAATAGATAGATAATTAATTAATATTCACTCTTTTATCTTTAATTTATTGATTACAGTTAAATAATTTATAAGTAATAGTTATTGGTTTTGATAGAATTATTATGTTTAATTTACTTAAAATAGTTGCTAAGCAAATTAAGTAAAGCAATAGCAAAAATATCTAAGTAATTTATTTGTGCATAACATAACTTTTTTTATAAGGCATTTTAAATCTATTTTACTATTAAAATTAATTTTTTAATTTTAAATAATATTTTGTTTGATACTAAAAGCTTATTTCTTGAAAAAACCATTTATTTTTTGTAATAATAAATTTTTTATTTTAGAATTAATCAATACCTAATAAAATATGAACAATAACCAAACAATCTTTTTTAGTTAAAAAGTAAATTTAAAACTTTAAAAAATCTTCTGTTACTAATAAAAAATAACATTTTAAAATAGAAATTATAAAATATTAGCTAACTTTTTGAATACCAAAAATAATAATTAGGAAAAAATGTTTCATTTTGATTAAAGTATATTTTGAAAAATGAAGACGATAGACGATATTTTATTAATTTAAAGATATTTAGTAAAGTTATAGTGATTGCGTAAGTTTACTCTAATAGAAGTAAATAGTAATTAATATTAATTATATCATATACTAATTTAATTAAATTAGAAAACTAATACAAACTAAATTACTAGTCGCCTTATTGATCCATCAATAATAAAACAGCCAAAAAATGACTTAATCAAAATAAGTAGTGTAATTTAGTTTTTTATCCTATTAGTGATTTTAATTTTTTATATGTGTTTAATTACTTGTTAAGCTTATAAGAATTATCTAAGTCAAATTACTAATAACTAAATGAAACTTCATCAAGATAGTCTAATCTTTATTCTGTTTGATCATAACTTATTCACAAGAATTTTATTCAAATACTTTGTAGTAATTTTTTTAATCTTGAGAGCTTCAAAAAAATCATAATTTTGTTGTGTAGATAAAGCAGTACATCTATTAATTAAAAATATGATATGATATTTTTTATATCCTTTGATTATAAATAAGATAAGCCTTTATATTTCCTTTTCATTATAAAATAAAACTATCTAAATCTTTTGATTATAAAATAATAGGCCATTATATATCCTTTTATTAGAAATTTTCACTCATTTAATTGTTGGTTCTTATTTCATTCACAAAAAAAAATTATCATGTAAATGGCAGCTCGCTCATAAAAATAATTACTTCAAAAATATGATAAAAATAAATTATTACATTCATTTTTTTATAACTTTAGCTTGAACGCTAAATTTCAAACTGATTTAAAATAGTTATGAAAACCTGATATTACTAACAAAATAAGATAATTAATGAAATAGTACCATATAAATTTAAGTGAAATAATTAATTAATTATCTTCAAAAATATGATAAAAATAAATTATTACATTCATTTTTTTATAACTTTAGCTTGAACGCTAAATTTCAAACTGATTTAAAATAGTTATGAAAACCTGATATTACTAACAAAATAAGATAATTAATGAAATAGTACCATATAAATTTAAGTGAAATAATTAATTAATTAACTTCAAGATACTGTTGATTTAACTTATTAATATTTTATAATTGTTAATCTTACTTGCTAAATGTAAATTCATAGTTTTTTGCTAGTAAATACTAAAATCAGTATGATATACTTATGAGATATAATTTCAAATTTATAGTCGATTATTTTTATTTAGGGGGTTATTATCTTTATATTTAATCACTCTAGTTTGCTTAAATTTAAAGTTTATGTTTGTATTAAATTTAAAGTTATCACCATAAAATAATTAGCTTCCCCTATGAAAATATTTTTTTTAAATAGATTAAGGATTTTATAAAATATCAAAAAATATAACTTAATTTTTTCAGAATTAATATTTTTTAATGGACCAAATATTTTGTAAAAATATGTGCATGCGTTAATTAACAATCAATAGCTTGAAACAAAAATAATTGTAGCTCGCTAACTATTACTATTAATTTTTTATTAATCTTTATTGATGAAAGTATCTTCATAAAAATCATGATGATAAAAATAGATTTTTATTACTTGTTAAATATTAAATTAAGTATTTAATAATACTAATTTTGAAAAAGAGAGTTTACTAAAATATTTTAAATTTGTAAATGTGCTATGTTATTTTTCAAAATTATATTTTCAAATATTTTACTAGCTTCATGATAACCAATTTATTTATTGATTTAAATTAATCATTAATTTTAGACAATTTAAACAAAATTTGACTCACCCGTTGGTTTATTAAAATTGTGAATTTTGTTAAAAACTAATACTCAAATTTTAATCAAATTTATTAATCTAGCAGATACGACTCACAAATTTATTAAAATCAATCAGTTAAATTATACGCAAACTATTACTGAATGCTAGCCTTTTTCAAATAGTACGATCAAGCTACCATCAAAATTTATAACTTTCTAAAATTAATTTTGGTTTCAAACTTTATTTAACTAAATAAGTATTCCCACTATTATAAATTGCAAAACAGATAAAACAAAAAAATATAATTCAAATCAAATTAATAATTAATCTAAAGAATAAAAACCTTAAGTTCAATACAAAAATGAAAAAATAATTCATAATACTTGCTTTGTTAGGCATACTTGCTTTAGCCTAAAAAGAATGCCCAGAAAATAGTTTCTTAAAATCAGATAACTGCGTTTGCAAAGAAGGATACTATGGTGTAAGTGCTGATAAATGTGTTCAATGCCCAGATAATACTACTTCTTTCCCTGGTTTGTATTATAACACCTATGATAAGGCTACTGCTGCAGATTGTAAAAAATGTTAATATAATTACTATGTTACAGGTAAAGCAACTAAAGAGTAACCTGCTACTTGCGCTAAATGTCCTGAGCATTCCATGACTACAATTCATACAAATGGAGAAGATGTCAAAACTGAAGCTTAAGCATGCTTAGAATGTGAAGATGGTTACTATTGGAATAATAAAGATGGTAAAAAAGTTTGCTTACCTTGTGGAAGTGAAGGCGCTGTTCCTTTTGATAAGCAAAAA